GGCTGCCGCTAGTTCTCAGCCTTACCTGGCACTGGGCATAGAGATTAGTAAAGGAAAGTTGGCCTCCACTCATCTCTATGCCCTTGGAGGAGCGGAGCGATGGCACTTCCGGTTCAGTCCATTTATTTATTTTTTATTAAGCACTAGATCAATTCTTTATTTTTTTGATCCAATGCTTTGCATTGTAGAGGAGAGATGTGGGGTCTTAGTGATTGACCCCTTATCTCTCCATAAAGAGCACCTGTCACTAATTTTTATCACAAGGGATGCATGCATTTCTTGTGATAAGAATAAAAGTGATTAAAACTTTTTTTTTTTTTTTAAAGGGACAGTGCAAAAAAAAAAAAAAAAAATTCAATACATTTAAAAAAAAAAGTTTAAAGTGCCCCTGTCCCCCCGTGCTCGCAAGTAGTGATGAACGCATACATAGGCATGCCCACATATGTAAATGGTGTTCAAACCACACACGTGAGGTATCGCCATGAACATCAAAGCAACAGCAATAATTCTTGCACTAGACCTCGTCTGTAACTTTACACTGCTAACCTGTAGAAATTTTTAAAGCATCACCCATAGAGATTTTTAAGTACTGCACTTTCATGCCATTCCACGAGTGTGTGCAATTTTAAAGCGTGACATGTTGGGTATCTATTTACTCGCCGTAACATCCTCTTTCATATTTTACAAAAAAATTGCAGTGTATATTTTTTTTTAATCAAAGTATTTTTTTCCAAAAAATATATATTCATTTTTAAAAACTGCGCATTTCGGTTTTCGGTCAAGTGCATTTTGAATTTTTGTTTTTGTTTTCAGAACCAGAATTTTCATTTCGGTGCACCACTACTTGTAATGCAGGTCTTCTCCAGACTACGGGGCTGCATAAAGCATATCCCAAAGGAACACATATCAGATGTCCTTGTGTGCAAGGGGACTTAAAATCATTACATGCATTTATGTGTTTTGAAATGTCCTAAAAGAGCAGTGTTGTCAGTGCCAGTATACGTTAAGCTGGGTAGTTTGGCTGGAACTGTCCAACTTTCAGCCCATGTGTACAGCTCCCTCTCTGACCGAAGCCGGTCTCACTACTGGCTTCTTTCGAATGAGCTGGAAAATTGGCATCCGATCGGCTAATGGCTAACAGTGCTGGTACAAGTGTGTCCCCCTGTCAGAACACAATAGCTCATAGCGGAAGATCGCCACACTAACATCACTTAGACGGTTTCTTTTTCTTCAACCTGCTGGGTTAAATGGCAAAGAAAACTCTACGTGTGTACCCAACATTAGTTCCTAGTGTTTATTCTTTCTTTTTCCCTTTCTATTAGTGGTGCACCGAAATGAATTTCTGGTGCTGAAAACGAAAATTCAAAATGCACTTGGCCGAAAACTGAAATGCGCAGTCTTTAAAACCTTTTGAGGACCATAAGATTACAGAACGCCAAAAGAATCAATTTTTTGTTTTTAAAGTTCGTACACTTCAGTTGCTGTAACTAAGCCATTTCATGAAATAATTGGCAAAAAGATCCATTTGTTAAGAACTAATATTTTGACTCAAACCACAAAAAAAAAAAGTATTTTAAGTTCTTAATCAGATGATACAGGCAATTAAAAACATGGGACAAATACGTTCCTTGGTCCTCAAAGGGTTAAAAATGAGTATATTTTTGGGAAAAAAATACATTTTGATTAAAAAAACAATATATACCCCAATTTTTTGGTAAAATATGAAAGAGGATGTTACTGAGAGTAAAAAGTTACCCAACATGTCACACTTTAAAATTACGCACGCTCGTGGAATGGCTTGAAACTGCAGTACTTAAAAATCTTCATGGGTGATACTTTAAAAAAATTTCTACAGGTTAGCAGTGTAAAGTTACAGAGGAAGTCTAGTGCCAGAATTATTGCTCTTGCTGTGACGTTCGTGGTGATACCTCACGTGTGTGGTTTGAACAGCATTTACATATGTGGGCATGGCCTACGTATGTTTTCACCACTATGTGCGAGCACGGGGGGACAGGGCACTTTAAACTTTTTTTTTTTTTTTTTTTTTTGCCCCCTTTTTTTTTTTTTTTTGCCTCTTTTAAAAAAAAAAAAAAAAAAAAAAAATGTATTCACTTTTATTCTTATCACAAGAAATGCATGCATCCCTAGTGATAGAAATAATAAGTGACAGGTCCTCTTTATGGAGAGATATGGGGTCAATAGGACCCCCATCTCTCCTCTTCAATGTAAAGAACTGGATCAGAAAAATAGCATTGATCTAGTGCTTTAAAAAAAAAAAATGTCCAAAACCAGAAATGACATCGCTCCGGTCCTCCAAGGGCATAGAGATAAGTGGAGGCCATCTTTCCTTCACTCATCTCTATGCCCAGTGCCGGGATTGTTCGATGGTTTCTCAGGTAAGGCTGAGAACTACCAAGCGGTGGCGGCGGCGAGGGGCGGGGTCTTTCTTCGGCACCTGTATCGGTGTGTTTTTTTTTTTTTTTTCCCCCCATAATGGCCGAAAGGGGTGTTTTCGGCCTAGACGTTTCGGCAACTGAAATTTCGGTGTATCCCTACTTTCTTTTTGCTGGACATTATATTTAGGATAGTGAAAAGTTATTGTAATTCTGGCTGATTCTAACAGTGGCTAGCCCTGCTAACCCCTCAAAAGTTGATTTTACTCATTTGATTTGTCAAAGGCTGAAATTTTTTGGTCAAACAGTGCTTGCCACCATTTAGCTGCAGGCAGTCTTGGGGGGTTCTGACAGGATCCAGTGCTTGGTGGGGGGATTCCTCCATCATGCTGTTTGGATGGAGGAATCTATTGTTGGTGTATGACCAGATTAATACTAGTTTTAGCCTGCTCATTAGAGCCAGCTGTGGTAAATATACTGGAAATAACCAGCTGTATGGTTGGGGAACAAAAAATCGAATCCGCTCTGAGACAGAGAAGATGTATATTCTATTAGAGGTTGAATCTGGTACATACTATCAGACTCGGAGATCAACATTTTTATTTAAAGAAAAAAAAAATTAAAAAGACCTAAAATGCTATTTTGCAAATTTTCAGACTGGACAGTAATATAATATTATGCATGACAGACTGCCTTGATACAAGGTACCTGCTGTCACTTATGCTGGCCATACACAAACAAAATTTTCCTTAGAAAATTGAATGAATGCTTTTACAACAAAAATTTTCCAATTGTTAGTGGGGTCAAATTGACATTCCTTTACGACCACAGTGTTGGGAAAATTCGAAGGAGCAGATTAGAAGATTCTTCTCAGTCAGATGAATGTTTGGATAGTGTATGTGGGTTTCCGTTCAGAAATCACATTCATTTTAAAATTGAATGTTAAAGTGCTTTTAAAAGCTCAACTCAAGGTTTTTTACCTTCATGCATTCTATGCATGAAGGTAAAAAACCTGCTGTGTGCAGCATCCCCCCCAGCACCCCTAATACTCACCTAAGCCCCCTCTGGATCCAGCGAGGTGCACTGGAGTCTCGCTATCCTGGGACTCATTGGCTGGGAGAGGAGCGGGTGCCATTGGCTCCCTCTGCTGTCAGTCACAGCCAGTGAGCCAATGAGAAGAGAGAGGGGGGGGGCCCGAGCCGCAGCTCCATGTGTGAATGGACAGCAGGTGCCCCCATAGCAAACTGCTTGCTGTGGGGGCACCCGACAGGAAAGAGGAGCCAGGAGAGCCTGTGGGGGACCTGAGAAGAGGAGGATCCAGGCTGCTGTGTGCAAAACCACTGCGCACAGCAGGTCAGTATAGACATGTTATTTTTTGTTACAATAAAAAAAAAAAAAATAAACTTTTTTTTTAAAAAAAAAAAAAAAAATAAAATAAACCTTTTAGAATCACTTTAAAAGCAAGTGAAACTTTTGAACGACGTTCGTCCATTTATCAAAAGTACAAAGAATTTTTGCACAAAAATTCTTCAAAAATCAATACGTATCTAGTATTAGACATTTAGTAGTAGCAGCAACATGCTTTTTTATCACTTGTCATGTTGGGGCAAAAAACAATAATAAAAATTGCCCTTTTTATAGTACAAAAACAGCAGGTAATCACTACAATAAGGGGTTAATTTATACTGTGAAACAGTGAAAGTAATAATGTAAAATATATATATGAATATATCTCAGGTAGGATGTACAAGGTATTTTAACTGGAAATCAGTCATGAAGCTATATGAAGGGTGGGGGAGGGGTTATAAATCTTTTATTTTAAAGTAGTACTAAAGGCTGAGACTTTTTTGCATGGATATAATACATTTTAAATATAATGCACAATACTAGTAAATACTGCTTTACATTCGATTGTAATTCTTTATATTACCTCCAGCTTCTCTGGGTTCATATGCTGATCATCCCTGCACAGAGCTCTTAAAGTGTTTGAAAAACCTTGGATTTTTTTTTCTAAGCTACAATCTTGACATACTTGCCTGCTCTGTGCAATGGTTTTGCACAGAGCAACCCCAATTCTTTTCTGAGGAAAGCATGCTTGATATACTCACCGTGGAACCTGAGGGGTTAATCTTCTGCATTGTGTAAAAAGGCCTTTTGACCCTTTCCTCTCTGCCCCTCCTCTTGTTCAAATGTCTGTCTTATCTCCTGATAAGACAGACAAAACCTTAGTCACATGCACTTGCTCAGTTTAGTGTGTAATTGCTAGTGTTTTTTTTTTTTTTTTTTTTTTTTTTTTTTTTTGGAGAGTGCATGTGTTCAGTATAGGGCTAATCAGCACTGTTCAGACAGAGAATCAGGGGTCCTGCACCCTTGTAGAGCAGAAAGAAAACTCCTCCAAGCTTTAACTAGTGCTCTGCTGAAGTCACAGGACTGCTCTAACTGCTGATGAGAAAAGGAATTTAGCAGGTTGTTTACTACAATAACTGCACTTCCATGTTCTGTGTACTGTGGGAGACAAGATATAGTGAATGCAGGGTCCTGGGTTTAGTAACGGTTTAAAAAAAATTTATTGGCCAATAACATTTTGTTTTATGTTTTACTTTCTAGATTACCTGGATAATGGGAACAACAAAATGGCAATTCAGCAAGCCGAGAAACTGTTGAAAAAACATAAAGACCTGCACTGTGCCAAGGTATTACCATTGGTGTACTTACATGCCTTGTTAACATGGGCTCCAGCATGTATATGACCAGGTTGTACAGTAAGCTTTGAGCAACTTTGTTGAAGCCTTTGAAGCACCCTTCAGCTCCAGTTTTAACCACTTGCCCTCCAGAGGATTTACCCCCCCCCCCCCCATCCTGACCAGGCCATTTTTTTTTTGCGATACAGCTCTACGTTACTTTGACAATTGCACAGTCATGCATACATGAATTAAATTTACATCCTTTTTTTTCCCCACAAATAGAGCTTTCTTTCGGTGGTATTTGATCACCTGTGCGTTTATTTTTAGAGCTATAAACAAAAAAAGACCGACCATTTTGGAAAAAAAAAAATATTTTTGACTTTTTGCTATAAAACCTGTCTAGTAAAAAAAAAAAAACAAATTTCGTCATAAATTTAGGCCAAAATGTATTCTACATGTATTTGCTAAAAAAAGAAAACCCAATACATGTAAATTATTTGGTGTACATGAAAGTTATAGCAGCTACAAATGGATATATATATATATATATATATATATATATATATATATATATATATATATATATATATATATATACATACATACATACATACATACATACATACATACATACATACAGTGGCGATTAGCGGGGCTGTGGTGTGCATTCTGACACTGGGGGGGGACTAACTGCCACTGACATCCCAATGACACTAATAGAAGTACTGACATTGTACTAATGACTATGGGCAGGATGGGTTAACATCTAGGGCGATCAAAGGGTTAAATGTGTGCTGTTTTACTAGGGAAACATGCTGCTGTGTATTTCTCTGCTGTGCATAAAAATACACAGCAGCATGTTACTGCTGCCAGGAGAGAAGCCTGTGGTATTTACACCCAGGTCTCTCCCCTGTCAGTGATATGCGATGATCTCCGGGTGCCGACGGAGTATATCTCCAGCTGGTACCCGGTGTTCGACATCTGTAGCCGCCAATGGTGTTCCCCCCCCCCCCCCCCCCCTGAAAATGAAAATCGTGTATATATACGTGATTTTTGCGCAGCCCTGCCACCAGTGGTGTATTTAGGTTTTGTTCTGTCCTAGTCCTGCATAGTAACATGTAGTGCTACAACTAACAATCATTTGCATGATCAATTAGTTGGACGATTATTGTTTTGATTAATCGGATAAAAAAACTCAGTGTGCTGTAATATGTAAAGTTTTTTTTAAAAGACAGTTTTATTCTTGAATATCTATATGCAGTGGTAATATAAATAACTAGCTATATAGTTAGGAAACAAAATATCTAATCCAATCTGAGAGTAATACAGGAGATAGATTTATTTTAGGGCTGAAACAACTAAACAACATAATCGATTGAAAATAGTTTTCAGCAAAAGTTATTTCACATGAAGGAAGTAATACAAAGAGATCAGGATACCTGGTACACAGGTAGCCAGGTCTCCAGGCTGACTCTGCTGTCTGGGTGGCTGTGGAAATCTCATGACTGGTTGGACATAGTTACAGATTCTTAGTGAAACATCTCCTGTATAATGTATATATATTTCAACTGTGCATTTAGTTTGCGCTCATTTTGAGATTTAAATATTATGTAAACCTAACATTTCATATTGCTGATATGTGCCTGCTGTACCATGTACTTGTATGGAAAAGTATCCTGTTCTCTTTGTGTTACTTCCCTGGTGTTCCTGCCAGTCCCTCTGCTTTCTTGTTAAAAACGGGACTACACTAAGCATGAGAGCATAGCATGGGCAGTTCTCTAGCTGTATCGCAAACTCAGCCTGCTCTCCTCCAATAATCAGACTTGTCCTGACACCTCCCCTTGCACAGCCATTCACTGGGAAGATCAGTGTGCTGGTCTTTCTTCTTCTCTAGCTCTTATGCAGCTGAGAACAGAGGGTATGCAATAATTTTTAAAAAGAATTTAAAAAAAAAAGGGGGGGGGCGGTAGTTATAATTTTTTTTATATATTTATGCACAATGTTTTGCCTTTTATTTTTCTATTTTAAACTAAATGGGTTGTTTTACAAGGTGAGGATTTGTTTACGCATACTTTAGAAACTTTTCCAGCTTCAGATTCTTTGGAATCAGTAGAGTCACCTAATATCTGCAACATATCTCCTAGGTTCTCAAAGCAATTGGGTTACAGCGAACTGGGAAGCAAGATGAAGCGTTTGTGCTGGCCCAAGAGGTAGCAGCTCTCGAGCCCACTGATGACAACTCCTTGCAAGCACTCACCATCTTATACAGGGAAATGCACAGACGTAAGTGTATTTTTTTTATTTTTTTTTTTTTTTTTACACAAATTACTAGTTAACAGAATCAGAAAAAGGGAAACAATTGGAAAATCAGTGCAGCAGTATTATTAGCCACTACTTGGCTAAGGATACTTTGTAGCTGGATTCCTTCTTCCTTCTGAAGAGTGTTTAAACACAGTACAGGTTTCTGTTCACTCGCTGCCAGGAAAGCAGAGAGATTGATTTTATTATTTTTTTTCTTCTTTATATCAGTGGAGGTTTTTGGCAACACCGCTTTACTAGATGTTCACTGTGAGGTGAGGGTGATCACCAGCTCGGATCCAGGATGTCTGCAGTTTATGCTGAAGTCTTGGCCCTTTTTAACTACTTGCCAACCACAGATAGCCGAATGATGGCTACACTGCAGCCGGCCAGTTCTGGTAGCGCATCATATGACGTCCTCCCAGAACGCGCTCTCCTGCGCGCCCCCGGCGATCTCCATGGTCGCTGTGTCCTAGGGACACAGCTGATCACGTGATGTGGTAAAAGGCCAATCACAGCGGCCTTTTACGACGTGATCAGCCGTGTCCAATGACACGCTGGTCACCGGGAAATGCAATTGCCGGTTCTCGGCTGGACTTTCCTCACGCTGTCAGAGCGTGAGGAAAGTACTGCCGAGAACCGGCAGTTGTCAGAACAGGGATCAGCACCGATCATCAGGACACTGATGATCTGTGCCCAGCAGTGCCACCCAGCAGTACGCCCACCTGTGCCACCCAGCTGTGCCCACCAGTGCTGTCACAGTGCCACCAGTCAGTGCCCCGCGCTTGTGCTAGTCAGTGCCGCCTATTAGTGCCCATCAGTGCTGCCTCAACGCACATCAGTGAAGGACAAAAATTACCTGTTTGAAAAATTTTATAATAGAAACAAAGAAACTTTTTTTTTTCTTCTATTTTTTTGCACTTTTTTTGTTTACAGCGCAAAAAGTAAAACACCCAGCGGCAATTAAATACCACCAAAAGAAAGCTCTATTTGTGAGGAAAAAAAAGATAAAAATTTCATATGGGTACAATCTTGCATGACCGCGCAATTGTCACTAAAAGTGCGACAGCGCTGTAAGCTGAAAATTGGCCTGGTAAAGAAGGGGGTATAAGTGCCCGGTAGGCAAGTGGGTAAAAAAAAAAGGAATATATGCATTCACTCCCCTTTCACACTATGATTTTGAAGCCCCTTTATTGTTCACAGTGACAAGTGTATGAAAACTATTGCCTGTTAAATCCTATGTAACCGTTCACGCTGCAGGTGCGCTGTTCTTTGAAAAGTCTTGCATGCTGCATCTTTGGCGCAATTTTTTACAAGCACACCAAAAAGGCACCATCTATTGTAAGTCACTGGCAATGCTTAAAACCACATAAGTGTGAAAGGGCTCTTAACAACTTGCCTACCGGGCACTTATACCCCCTTCCTGCCCAGGCCAATTTTCATCTTTCAGCGCTGTCGCACTTTGAATGACAATTGTGCGGTCGTGCAACATTGTACCCATATGAAATTTTAATAATTTTTTTTCACACAAATAGAGCTTTCTTTTAGTCAGCTTTAATCGCCACTGGGTGTTTTATTTTTTGCACTATAAACAAAGAAAAGCAAAAAATGTAAAAAAAAAAAAAGTTTCTTTGTTTCTATTATACAATTTTGCTTACAGGTAATTTTTCTCCTTCACTGATGTGCATTAATGAGGCGGCACTGATAGGCAGCATTGATGGGCACTGATGAGGTGGCGTGGATAGGCTGCACTGTGGGCGATAGGCTGCATGAGAGGTGGCACTGATAGGTAGCATTGATGGGCACTGATGGGGATAGGCACTGATGGGCACCGATAGGCTGCACTGATGAGGTGGCACCGATGCTGCTGCACTGACATGCTGCAATGATGGTCACTGATGGGTGGCACTGACTGGCGGTCAGTTCCGATCTCCTCTGTGACAGCTGCCGGTTATCGGCAGTACTTTCCTCTTGCTGGGGTAGCGTGAGGAAAGTGCTGCCAATAACTGGCAACTGTATTTACTCTGTGATCTGCTGTGTTATTGGACACAGCTGATCACGTGGTAAAAGGCCGCTGTGATTGGCCTTTTACCTCCTCACGTGATCATCCTTTTTTTCTTTTTTTTTTTTTTTTCCATTTTTTTTTTTTTTTTTGCATGCTAGTCTCATATCGAAAATGAAGATGGTACTAAACATAACAAAATCCTTGTATGATCTGGTATCGTGTGAGAAAAATTTTCATGATTGTCCCTTCGGATATTGTCGTGATAGTCTCTCGAAAGCTATGTACTATTGATCAGATTATCGGGCGATCGGTCCTCGTGTGAAAACTTTCATACTATTTTCTTATTTGTCTGTAGGGCCATTAGGCTAGACACCTGTGCATTTACAGAAATGCTCTACATTAGTTCCTATGGGTTTTGTTCACATCTGTGGAGTTTTTTGGAAAGGTGCAGGGACTTTTTCTATTTTTTTTTTTTACATGCAGCATGGTGTGTTTTTGGCTCCATAGACTTCAATGGAGTTGCATCAAAAATGTATGGAAAATGCATGTACCTGCATTTTATAGATTTTTCTTTTTGTGTGTGTGTGTTTTTCCTGCATGAGAACATACACTTCCCCCTAGCGATATTAACACATCCAAAAATGCATTAAAAATGCTTGAAAACACCAGAAAATCCCATCAACCACAGCCTGCATGGGTGGGAATCTAGCCTAAAGCAAGAACTCTTAATGCTTTTTAGCCACTAGGTGTGAAACATTTTTCTTTAACTTTAGTTAGTGGATTCTCAATGGAAATCTATGATGAATCCCGTGAAGACAAATATTGTCTAAAGAACTGGGCAATAGCTGATATAATAAAGGTTGCTAAAGGTTTTTCTGATTCTGTCAGGGATTTAAATATTTAAATGTACTTCATCATTTTGTATTTTCTTTTTGTAGCGGAATTGGTGACTAAACTCTACGAGGCAGCTGTGAGAAAAGTCCCCACCAGTGAAGAGTATCACTCTCATCTTTTCATGGCTTACGCTAGAGTAGGAGAATATAAGAAAATGCAGCAGGTATAGAAATCATTGCATTTTTTTTTTACATCCTTTTCAGTCTACAGAATGTGTTTTGCAAGTTCACTGCATGTTAACTCTTATTAAGATGATTTAAATCTTAGGTCATTTTCCTTAGGAGTAAATATTGTACAGTTAAATAGCTGTAGTTTCACCTGATATCTGTGATGTATTAGTGATAGTTGTACATGTCACGATCGCGGCGTCAGACCCCAGACCTTCTCACCAAACTCGTGACCGAAGGACACCGCGATGTGACGTGCGTAACAATGCCACAGCCAGCTACACCCTACACAGCGATTTTCCAGCTAATGGATTTCAATCTGTGCCTGCAGCCTTGATGCGCTTGTTACTGGGTTGAGTTAATTACGCAACTAACCCTTCACTGCCACCACCCCTTTTTGTACAGAGAAAGGGGAAACTCTCTTTATCAAATATACACTGTAATGGTTGAAGAGTTGTCTGTCCAATACGTTCACCACAGGCCGATTGGGCAGAGGATTAAACAAACACAATAGCGTTTCTTTAGAGGCAGGAATTCGTTAATTGCAATTAAGCGCTTTAGAAACAGTTTGACTCTTTTAGTAATAAATCTTTCTTTCTGAAAGTGTTAAACAGGTACAATAAAATATTTACAGAAAAAGATGTAACTAAGATATATATATATATATATAATGTGTGTACAAAGAACCATAGCACAGCAAAGAGATATCAGAGAGGAAGTTAGAGGGTTAAGTTACTTGCCAATTAAGCCTTAGCCGTAAGCAGATCCAAGTTTCAGAGCGAAAGGGTCTCCCCGGGTGGTATTGATGTTACAAATGGGAGATGTCTTCAACTTCCTTTTTAGGCCTGCTAGCCTGTGTTTTAAAGTCCCCCAGCAGGAGGGTGGCTCTGAGTAACTGACCAATACTCTGTTTAGGGAGGGATTGTCAGGCGGACTCTGAATTAGAACCAACATCTTCATAATCCATGATATGAAACATAGGGGACAAACTGACTTGAGGAATGTTCATTTAATTCTGTCACCTAAGTTGCTAGGTTTTATGAGGTTACAATCTCTTTCAATTCCTGGGAAAAGCTGCCTTATCTCTCTGTTACGAGATGAGAGATTATACATGTTCTGGGGCAGCCAGGCTCTCTCTCTCTTGGGGGGCTTTGTAGCTCTGGGCCCCCTGCTGCTCTACCTGCCAGTGACACTTTAAACACACACGCATCTGTCACTGTGCCTCTCAGGAAGGGAGGGAGAATGAGAAATGAGGGACACAACGTATACTCCGTACCAAGATGGAGGTGCCTACAAAATGGTTGAACTGCGTACTTCACTGTGTTTTGCGCAGTTTTTGCGACAGTACACTGTTACACTGATGATTAATGATTCATGTTCTACCTTGTGTTCTTCTGCAGGCTGGAATGGCACTTTATAAAATTGTTCCAAAAAATCCCTATTATTTCTGGTCTGTTATGAGCCTGATCATGCAGGTAAGCAATGTGCATATCTTAGGCCTGCTGTCACTGCAGCGTAAATATGTGGTCTGTGTTAGTATGGAATATTGGATGAATGGCACACTCTATAAGGGTTGCTTTCATATTTTTTGTTTTACTTCATTAACCACTTGCCTGCCGGGCACTTATACCCCCTTCGAGCCCAGGCCAATTTTTAGCTTTCAGCACTGTCGCACTTTGACAATTGCGCGGTCATGCAACATGGTACCCATATGACATTTTTATCTTCTTTTTTCACACAAATAGAGCTTTCTTTTGGTGGTATTTACTTGCCGCTCGGTGTTTTATTTTTTGTGCTATAAACAAAAAAAGAGCAAAAACGTTAAAGAAAAAAAGTTTTTTTCTTTGTTTCTATTATACAATTTTGCCTACAGGTAATTTTTCTCCTTCACTGATGTGTGTTGATGAGGCGGCACCGATAGGTGGCACTGATGAGGTAGCACTGATGATGCTGCACTGATAGGCGGTACTGATGGGCACTGATGAGGTAGCACGGATAGGCAACACTGATGGGCACCGATGAGGTGGCACTGATGCTGCTGCACTGATATGCAACAATATTGGGCACTAACTGGCGGCACTGCTGTGCACTGACTGGCGGCACTGCTCATCAGGGCACTGATGATCGGTGCCAATCTGTCCTCCGTAGGACACAGCTATCACGGAGATCGCCGGGTGCGCGGGAGGGCACATTCTGGGAGGACGTCATATGACGCCCTCCCAGAACTGGCCAGCCACCGTGAAGCTATCATTCGATTATCTGCGGTCGGCAAGTGGTTAAAAAAAACAGCCAATTCAAAACTTGCATTTAGTAAGCATCTGGTTCACACTTGTGCAGCTCTGCGAGCCACGTTTTGCGCAGGCACAGAAGCCCATTCATTTGAATGGACTGCTATGCCTCCTAAAAAGGCAGGGAAAAGTTTCCTGCTTCATATTTGAAATAGCAGCCTGCATGGAAACCGCAAATGCAGGTTTCCAGTGCTTGTGGGTGCCATTAGGATTATTGGCACCTGCACGCATTTTTTTTTTTTTTTTTGTGCGGGTGGTTGCGGCTGCGGGAGCAGGTGCGGACCCGCAGTGGGAACCACCCGCACAAGCGTGAACCAAGCTTCAATGTTATGGGAGAGCCTTGTTTGTCACATTGAAAGATGTGATTTCATATTTAGGTTCCAATTACTTTTTTTGATGCACAAAAGCTCACACAAAGTTAAGGAAAATGAGTGAATTAGAACTGATTGGAGTTAATAGATGTTAAATAGGAACAAATTTTATTTTAAAAAAATGGAATTGGTAGGGTTGCATTGACTGACATAAATTGCAGATTGAAGGTCACACCTCTTCATGTGCATAAAATGAAGTAAACACAGTGTCACAATAATGTTACATTGTTTTTCTAAATGAAGCTGTTGAACAGTGTTATAATCCAGCCTTTTTCAACCAGGGTGCTTTAAGGTTTCTTTAGGGGTGACTTGGCAAAGTGTCTAAAAATTACCCAAAAATTGTATACAAGCCAGCGTGTGGATCAAGTTTACCTTTTAGTTACAAAGGTAAAGCCACAGGTTTTCATTGTGCAGCAATATAACTTTCCAGCCTCTGGAGTCAGAACAATCAATGTCGTCAAGAGTTGACAAGAAGCATCCTTGTTTGTCCCTCCAGGGGACAAAGGGGGCACTCTCCAGCAACACTGGGGTCACATTAGCTGAATGAAAAAGAGCAACTGCGTGGAAAAGAGAAACATTGGAATACTAGTCCTTATCAGTGTGCAAAGGTGTGTTTGCTTTGGGAGAATAAATCGCCTGTAATGTTGGGTGTCCTATGTGTGTGGATGTTGCTGCTCTATGTAAATTGATAAATGTAAATGTTACATTTTAAAATGAAGTGCCTTGAAATTGTGCAGAATTTTAAAGGTTGTCTTGACTGAAAAAAGTTTGAGAAACACTGTTCAGAAGCTCCATTTTCATGGCAGTAGCTAACTACACATGAACAATGTAAGCAGAATAATTATCAGTTCTGTAGTAAACATTTTTTGGAAATGCCTATAAAACATACATATAAAACATACATATTATATCATTTTTGGAATTCATCAACCTTGCCTGTGTTGAACTGCTTTTTAAACCAGTCCATTTTAAATTCTTTATTTTCTTTAGTCTATTTCAGCTCAAGATAAGAAATTGTCTAAAACAATGTTTTTGCCACTGGCTGAAAGAATGGTTGAGAAGATGGTAAAGGAGGACAAAATAGAAGCAGAGGCTGAGGTATGGTCATTATTTTATTTATTTATTTTTTACAATATTTTTTTTCTAGTATCCTATGGGAGCCAAAAAGAAATCAGATGTGCCTTGTTTCAGTTGTGGCAGCAGTCTGAAGTTTGTAAAAGACATTTCCCAGAATTCTTATCCCCCACTGCTGTAATTGGCTCATTACTTCTAACTTTTTTCATACTATTCCAGTAGTATAGGCAGTTTGCTGTAGGGAATATGGCATCCCTGGAAACGTCATTTCCTGTGAGATATTTGCAATACTTCTGCAAAGTTGTCAAGCATGCAGCATTTCCTGTTTTAACTTTGAGAATGATTGTGTTAGTATAGCCAAGTGTACTCTCTGTGTTTCATATCAATGGATGTGTGTGTTATTTATTACGAGACCCTTACAATGATCTTATTTCGTCCCCTTTTGTCTGATACATATACAATTTTGGTGTGTTTTGTTTTAGTTCAAAAAACGTCCTTTGATCCTTATAGAAATTTTGTCAGCTGACAACTTCCTCTGCTGCACTTACAGAACCCCTCCGCTGTTATGAAGAACAAAAGAGGGGGAGGTTTTCTGTAGTCCTAGGGTGACAGCGCTACTTTGACGTACTTTAAGGTTTGAAGTGTGAGCATTCTTGCCCTACTAAAGGAAGTGTGTTACTGGCAGAATTGGCAAGTGAAAATAAGACAAAAAGCCTTTTAAGCACTTGCAGACCAGCGACAGACCGTTACATCACTGGACATTGAGTGGTTATACTGGCATGATGCCTGCAGCAGCTATAAGACCCCAGACCTCTCATTAAAAAGGACCTGTCACTGCATATTGCTATCAAGGTACGGGATATTAACATTCCCTGTGATAACAATAAAAGTGAAAAAACCCCAACATTTTTCAAGTGTCCCTGCCCCCAGCTGACATGGAGAATCAAATGCACGCATCGGTCCTGCACACATATGTAAATGGCGATCACACTACATGTGAGGTATCGCCGTGAATGTCCTATCGAGAGCAATAATTCTGGCACCAGATCTCCGGTGTAAATCTAAAGTGGTAACCTGTGAAGGCTTTTAATGCGTCATGCGATGGAAAATAAAATGTACATAGCTTGTTGCCGTTGTATGGGCGTGTGCAATTTTTAAAGCTTGACATGTTATTTATTTACTCAGTGTAGCATCATCTTTTTATATTTTACCAAACAATTGTGTATTAGAATTCATAGAAGACTATTTAAAAAAAAAAAAAAAAAAAAAACAAATACCATGTCACATTAAAAAATTGCAACACCCACTATTTTATTCTCTAGGGCCTCTCTGCTAAAAAATAAAAATATCATGTTTGTGGGTTCTAAGTAATTTTCTGGAAAAAAAAAATACCGAATTTTTTTTTTTTTTTTCACATTTAAACAAATAAGTGTCAAAAAAAGGACCTGGTCTTAAAGTGGTTAAAAAGCTGAAATATTACATTTTTGTGTTTTTGGACCTTGATATGCTTTAACCTTTTGTAATCATACACTTGTTTTATACTATTTCTGTATTTTGCTGTAGGTTCCATAGTCTCCTTTCTGTCATATCTTCTAGATAATTGTTTTTCAATTGTTATATTATGTACACCTTTTATAAATTCAGATCACATCTGTTTTCAAATTCTAAAAATGTATCTAGTGGAGTGTGCTTTGCGTAATAGTTATACTTTGTGGATACTATAAACTGTTTTTATGAGGTTGAAGCAAACAAGCCAGGGTGATCGCTTCTAGGGCTTCACATAGCACTTGGTGAGAAACACAGTCCTGGACTTTGGAGCATCTTAAGACGTGCTAATCTAGCACACTCATCTAGCACACTCATCTAGCAGCAGACACAAATAAGCTGCTTGTGTACAGGTTTACTCCTAAGAAAGAGGCTTACATTAAATGACATCTTTCACCCCATCAGCAATGATATCTGCGTTTAAGTGTTAGAAGTAGTAAGATTATGACTGCTTTAATTGCAGCAAAGTGAAACTGTCTCATTTACTTTTAATGATCTAATAAGTTGTGGCAATTTAATGTTTTCCATGTCGCAATGACCTTTTTCATTTATTAAGTCTCAGCAGTGTGATTGCTGTCTGTTGCAGGTTGAACTGTACTACATGATTTTAGAGCGTTTGGGGAAATATGAAGAGGCACTAGAAGTTATCAGGGGAAAGCTCGGAGGTATGTCTCTAATAGGAGTCATTTTTACTTTAACGTGTGGGTAAAATTTAAAGACCTTTGTACAAGATTGCACAATGGGATTGCCTGAGTTTGTACCGTTATGGCTTTGGAAATAGGAGAGGGAAAAATTTATTTGGGAAGCCACACAATCTTTATTGCAGCAAAGAGAGAGAGGTTTATTCGCAATCAACACTACAATAGATTTCAACAAACAGACACTGGAACAATAGTTTCAACCACCCCTGCTTCCTTTTATAAAGTTCAAAAAGTGTACAGGTAAGAAATTATCTTGCATTTAGCTCACTAGGAAAAGGAAACGCATCATCTACATAACCAAGTGACCAGCCTGCTTTCCCAGTATACAGGAAAAAGGAAAACCGTGTCCTATCAAGATATATATATATATATATATATATATATATATATATATATATATATATATAAAGGGATTGATTTACCAAATGAAAATATGCTATCACTTTGCAATGGAATTTCCCCAAGAGCTTAGTGAAGGTGGTGACATTTTTTCTTTGTAAAGAAGACCCAATCATGTGCAAGGAAAATAAAAAAAAAAAACACATTTTTGCTTGTATGTGATTGGATGATGAAAGTCAGTGGAGCTTCACCTCATTCAATAAGCTCTAGGAAAACTTCCCTTGAAAAATGTAACTGCCTTGAAAAGTGAACAGTCTATTTGCCTTAATAAACCGACCACAAAGTAACAAAAAAAATATTGCGAAAAAGCAAAATCAAAAACCTTTGAAGAAGAACCAACAAAGAAACTACTTGTACCTCCAATCACATATACAGATAAGCGTTGATCCCTATTTAACCCTTGGGAATGTGGTGAGGAGAGTTTCCTTGATACACCATGTGGTAGATTTACTAAAACTGGTGCACTCAGAATCTGGTGCAAACTGGATAAAATGATAATTTTCAGAAAAAATACACTTTAATGAATTTTAGTGTACTCAGACACTGTATAATACCCAGTTTTGTCATAAAATATATAAGACAATGTTATGCCGAGTAAATGGAATGGACACAAACTATGGTACCTAAAAATTTCAATAAGTGATGCTTTAAAAGGCTTTGCAGGTTACCAGTTTTAGAGTTAAACATTGAATTATTGCTCTCCCTCTGATGTTCGTAATGATGCCATTTACATATTTGTGCAGGACCTACATATACTTTTCTTTTTTTTTTTTTTTTTTTTTTTTTTATGCTGTCTCTAAAAACTTTTTTTATTATTTTTGCTCAATTTTATTGCTATCCAAAGGGATGAGCAACATCCCTTGTGATGGCATGGGCAGTGAGAGGTAGTCTTTACTGAGTCTAACATAAACCAGATCTCTCCTCTGCTGAGATCAGTTTGATTAGATGCTTTACAAACCTGTAACCGCTTGTAAATATAAAAATGGAATTGACAAAATCCTCCTCACTTCTGGTCTCTTACATCAAGAGGGGTGGGCAGATATGTCCTAAGGGATTGAAGTGATTAGCATGCAATGGAGAAGCCCAGCTTGTAACTATTTGACACATTGTGAGGGCATACAGCATTCAAATCAAGTTTACAACTGATGAGGTCTGCTAGCACAATGATACATGGTGAATTAATGCAAACACTGTCCAGCCCCCTCATAAAGAAAATTAGAAGGATTTTTTTTTTTTAAGCGCTGGGAACATGTAACAAACACACTGTAGATGTTTTCTCAGTTTGGCTGTAAAAATGGAAATACACTTTGTAGTTTCCATCCCTAAGTTCATCTTAGATTGGAAGCAATTTGGCTTCTTTTGTAAAAGTAAAACTGTACCTCTGTCCAACAAGAGTTGGGATATGCCTTTTGCCTCTATGTACCCTCTAGTCTTCTTTTTCTGTACAAGTGTTTACGTTTAAATACATAATAAACTTTATTCTTTAAAAAAGCTACCTTTTGACACCACATGCTTTTGCAGGTGTGTTAATTCATAAAATCTCTTGAAGAACCAGAATATTTCTGGGCAATTGTGCCTTTCAGGATATACAACTGTGTGAAAATGATTTGTCATTCTCAAAACATTTGGCCAAAGTCTTCAGTGTTTTTAGATCCTTTTTGTCAGATGTTACTGTGGTATGGTGAAGTATAATTATAAGCATTTCAAAAGTGTCAAAGGCTTTTATTGAAAATTGCATTAAGCTTATGCAAAATGTCAATATTTTCAGTGTTGACCCTTCTTTTTCAAGACCTCTGCAATTCACCCTGGCATGCTGTCAATTACTTTTTGGTCCACATCCTGACTGATAGCCCATTCTTGCATAATCAATGCTTGGAGCTTGTCAGAATTTGTGGGGTTTTTTTTTTTTTTTTTTTTCTGTTGTCCTACTTCTTGAGGATTGACAACAAATTCTCAATGGTATTAAGGTCTTGGGAGTTTCTTGGCCATGGACACAAAAAAATACGATGTTTTGTTCCCCGTGCCACTTGCCTTTATGGCAAGGTGCTCCATCATGCTGTCACCAAACTGCGCTTGGATGGTTGGGAGAAGTTGCTCTTGGATGATGGTTTTGTACCATTCTTTATTCAAGGTTGTGTTCTCAGGCAAAATTGTGAGTGAGCCCACTCCCTTGGCTGAGAAGCAACCCCACACATGAAATGTCTCAGGATGCTTTACTGTTGGCATGACACTGAACCGATTGTAGTGCTCGCAGTTTCTTCTCCAGACAAGGTTTTTTTTTTCCGGATGCCCCAATCAATCGGGATTCATCAGAGAAAATTACTTTACCCCAGTCCTCAGCAGTCCAATCCCTGTACCTTTTGCTGAATATCAGCCTGTCCCTGATGTTTTTTCTGGAAAAATGTTGCTTCTTTGCTGCCCTTCTTGACACCAGGCTATCCTCCAAAGCCATCGCCTCATGTTTGCAGACGCATTCACACCTGCCTGCTGCCATTCCTGAGCAAGCTCTGCACAGGTGGCGCCCTGATCCCTCAGCTGAATCGACTTTAGGAGACGGTCCAGGCGCTTCCTGGACTTTCTCTGGTGCCCTGAAGCCTTCTACACAACAATTGAACCTCTTTTCTTCAAGTTATTGATGATCTTATAAATGGTTGATTAAGTGCAATCTTAGTAGCAGCAATATCCTTGCTTGTGAATCATTTTTTGTGCAAAGCAATGATGACTTCACATGTTTCCTTGCAGGTAACCATGGTTAACAGAGGAAGAACAATGATTTCAAGCAGCACCCTCCTTTTTTAAAGCTTTCAATCTGTTGTTCTAACTCAGCCTTGTCCTTGTCAACACTGACACCTGTGTTAACGAGAGAATCACTGACATGACGTCAGCTGGTCTTTTTGTGGCAGGGCTGAAATGCAGTGGAAATTTTTTTTTTTTGGCGGGTGGGGGACTGAGTTCATTTTCATGGCAAAGGGGGAATTTGTAATTAATTGCAATTCATCTGATCACTCTTCATAACATTCTGGAGTATATGCAAATTGCCATCTTGAAAACTGAGGCAGCAGACTTTGTGAAAATTATTATTTGTGTCGTTCTCAAAACTTTTGGCCACAGCTGTACAATAATCTTTCCTAAGTTTTTTTTTTTTTTTTTTTTTACTTGGATGCGTTGTGTTCACTGACCAAAAGTTCTGACCTTATAGTCAAAACTTTAGACGGGGGGGTTCATTAGTGTAATGGATCCCCTGGTATATGAAATTGAGATAATGTAACTAGGATACGAACGTTTAACTTCTGATCACAGTTTGTCACGTGCTTTAAGAGCAGGCAGTATCACAAAAGATTTGATTATCTACAGCCAACCCATCCATGAGTTCTGCCATAACTGCTGCCTAATTTCGTAAGGACCCACTTTCTCAACTTGACTGTCAGAGATTCCATATTTGTGGCAAATGCCACATTTTTTGGATAAACTTCTGGTGCTGCTTGTTTAAGAACCAAATGTTATATTAAGAATACTTAGAGAAGTCTATTCCAGTAGTGGTGACATTTGACGTCTTCAGTGTCTGCACATCTTTTGCTCATACCACAGGCATTGATGCCTCACTAGAATTGATGTTTTTTTCTTGTCATCCCGTCATTCCCAGAGCATTCATGAACCCCTTTGGGATCGGTTTCATCTTTTCCAATGTAGTGTTCACTGAACATTGATAAATCTGGTGGCACAGTAATGTTGGAACCCTCTCATTTTCCACAAGGAACATAGTAGCTTTGGCAGATCAATTGAGTTCAACACGACAATGAATATGGAAGAACATTACTTATCTTAATTGTACAGGACACAAGCAGCGATATTCATGCACCATGGGTTATAGGTGTGTGCCCTTCAGGTGATTGGACACTGGCAAATCTTTGAAGAACACACCCCCTGCACATCTATTGTATAACTTTGGTTCAGCCCTTCTTTTTGGCACAGGGCTTGGCTGACAAATGGCATCAAGCTCTCCTAAAGCCCTCTTCACAATGAAGGGGCATCCTCACTCCTAAATTTGGTGAAGTCTGTTAGTTTGCCTGTCTTCTGGTCCCAAATGAACAAAATTGAGTTCAACTCTCTAACCCATTACCACTTTCTTCTTTGAAATCAACCAAAAACTGCCCATCTTTTTTTCCCAGGGAGTCGTGCCAGTACTGCCACAAGATGGGTTTAAAGGATTTTACTAACACCTTTTTATTAGGGTTGAACCGAAATTTTGGCTGAAACAAGCCCTATCTGCATTTTGCAGATATGAAATATTGAACCGATACAGGTGCCAAAAATGTCCTTTTGGCCAGTGCAGTAGAGGAGAGGAAATTGAGAGAGTAGGTGCCGCTGCATCTTGGTTCTGCCCATTCTGACCGGGGAGAGATGTGGGTTGCTCTGACCCCTCCCTCCCTCCTACAGGAGGGAGGTGTGGCTGCGCAGTGATACCTTGGCGCATTCCCAATGTTAGTGGCCACGCCGCTTGATGGGACAGAGCTGGGCTGCTTTTAAGTCTACTACATGGTGAGGGGAGCAGGCTGTGCATGGGACAGGTGTCAGGTGCGCAGGCTGTGCATGTGTCGGGAGTCACCTGCGCACCTGATACCAATCCCATGCACAGTCTGCGCACCTGACACTCTTTAACTCCTTCCCACCCGGCCTATTGTACAATGACAGCTGAGCGGGAACATTTGGGCATGATCTGTCACTGGCTGTGTCCACGGGACACAACTGATGACAGATCACTACACTGGCCCGCTGCCAGTGTCAGTGTCCATTTCTGTTTCAGTTTTAAGCCAAGAGCATCCTGAATTTTCAGTTTCGGCATCATAATTTTAATTTTGTGCACCCCTGCTTTTTTGCTACCAAACCCCAGTAGGGGGGTATGCATCATATTCTGGACTTAAATCAATTGATATTCCAAACTTTTTCTTGGAATCTGCAAGGTCAGTAATTGTCTGAGATAAGGGAAATGCATTGTATCTGTGGACATGCAGGATGCCTGTCTGCATGTTCCCATTTACCAACATCATCAGTGCTTTCTACAATTTGCAGTGGCAGACAGTCCATTCCATTTTGTCCCACCCCGTACAACCTATCCTCTGCTCCCATAGTGTTCACAAAGGTCTTAGCACCTCTGCTTGCCCTTCTCAGTACTCCGGTGCATTTTGGTCACAGGCTGTCTAGATTACTACCTTCTGAAGGACTCTTCTATTTCCAGCTATCTGAAAATGTCCACAAGACAATTCAGATGTGCAAGCCCTTCAGCTGGATAATGAGTTTCAACAAATTTTTTTTCTTGTTTTAAGTCTTTCCTTCGTCTGGAATATCTATAATATCCCAGATTAGAATTACAATGTTCATTGATCTCTACAATCCACATCCTAGGAGTGGACAACTGGAACCATATCTCGGCCACCATTGTTTGGATTAAGAGGAGGTGGGCGCTTCATGCAGATGTCTTTAATCTTATATGCCAAAAATGCAGGATGTTTACATTCCAGCCTTCAAATTCAACAGACTACCTCTGTTTGTTTTAACCCATTTCACCAGGTCAGTGGGAGTTTCCTGAACGTTTTTGGCACCAAACCTCTGTAGCCCAGTTGTGTAAGGCCTCTGGCCTTCATACGTTTTTTCAGAGATTTTTTACAAGGTGCACGTCCAGTCTTCTGCTAAAGCAGCTTTTTGGTTGTACTCTGATCTTGGGTTGTTTGGCCCATATCATTTAAGCCTGTTGGCAGTTATGTTTGTTTTTTTTTTTTTTTTGTCCACCCTTTTTTTCATTGCTAAAGGACATCCCATGCTGTATGAATAACCGTTTGTGTCCTGTACTGTACGATTAAGATACAAGGGTGGTATAGTCAATATCTAGGAGTATAGTACAGGACACAGCCCACCCTCCCTTCCATTCCTTGGTTTACTCTGCATTGCTTTCTACAAAACGGAGCACTCAAAGTGGGATAGGTCTGCAGCAGAGGTGCTTTAGGGGTCAGTCCTCTAAAGATTTGCCAGTGTCCAGTCACCTGAAGATACATGCCTATAACCCGTGGTGTATGCATAACTCTGCCTGTGTCCTTTACTTTAAGATAAGGAAAGTCAAATTCCTTCTTTGTGGATACTTTGTTTTACTAACAGTCAAGGTGCCACTCATCTCTTGTTAACCAACTAACAGAAATTAGTTTGTGTTCCTAAATCGCTTTCATTCCCCTCACGTCTTCAAATCCGCAGTGAGAAGTTGGCTTGTGAGAATACAATGCATTTTCAGTAATGCGACAAACAAATCCTTAAAGCAGAATTCACAGCTTAACTGGTCATTTTGTTCTAGGGGAGAGGATAGTGGAGATAGACAATCTGAACCCCCCCAATCCTCCCTGCTCAAGACTTGTTTCTTCTGCTCCTGCACCCCCGCGGTCCAGCACTCTTGCAAATGGACTATTCCTGATGTCAGCATGCTCCATAGCCAGAAACGGTCCACCACTGGACCGTGGGGGAGCACAGTTTTCCAGAGGATCTGCGGAACATGCGAGTGTGAGTTTTGTCCTCGGCCCTAGAAAAATGAGCAGCTGATCCGTTTAGTGGGTGCACAAGCCCCACTTCATAGTAAAAATAAATTTAACTGAAGTTTTGCTTTAAGACTAGAGATGGTACAAAAATTCAGAACCACCGGTTACCCTGAACGATTGCCTCAGACTGAATTGTCATTCATCGCAAACAGAGAAAACAAATAGCCCAGGCCCTAAAAGAAATGTGTATGCTTCTCGGTATCCTGGGTTCAGATTTTTTTTTTTTTAGGTGGTATCACTGTTGGTAAGAATGGATAGTAAGAGCAAAAAAAAAAAAAAAAACCCTGTGATTTCCAGGTCACCTTTTGGGGACCAAAAGATGTGGTTCGTTCCCATGTCTGGTCTATGTGCAGTGCTGATTGATTCTCAAAGTTAATAATTTCAAACATCCGGTGTTAGGGCCAGTTCACAGCATGCCCACATCTGAATTGCACAGGAACGTGCTGTGCATTCCTGTGCGATTCAGGCTGCATGCAGAATGCACTACATTTGTGATCTGCTAGGGGTGTAAATGAAAAGTTAACACTCCAAACACAGTGTGTTTGCCCACACTGGATCAAATGGTAATTTTGTACCATGCGATGCAGTTACAGTGCATTATAAAAAGTGCACTACTTTTGGTGTGGTGCAATTTTTTGTTTTGAATACCCTGAAATTGCACCACATATGAATTGCACAGGAACACACTGCCACGAACCTATGTGGTTCCTAAGCAATTCAGTTGCAGACAGATTTGTGGACAGTTTACCCTTCTCTGCAGTATCCTGCTGTGAAAGTCTGTTTGACATTGTCCTGTTGATCCCTTTACCTGTGTTCCATATAACCATCCCGCTGCTGCATTCCCAGGGAAAAAGAAACAATATATCAATTGTATAGGACAGGGGGATGCTATGGTGGTTTGTGGTGCATAGATGTCCTAAAGAGGATTCATCTTTTGTAAAATAAATGAAAATGTATATAGTTGTGGCCAGTCTTGGCTATAGGTTAAAAATGGTTTGTCCACTTATGACTATGGATGGACAACTAAGAAATATGAACTCTATTGCATTGTTGGACATTTAATATTTTGTGTTTTGTTACTGTTCAGAGAAATTAACCAGTGAACTACAGAGCCGTGAGAACAAGTGCATGGCCATGTACAAGAAGCTCAGCAAGTGGCCCGAATGTAATGCTCTCTCAAAGAGACTACTTTTGCAAAAGTGAGTTTTGAGCTTTTGTTTTAATTTAACAGCAACCCATCAGGACTGGGAAATGGAAAAGCTGCTATTGCCAACTAGTTTTTGAAGGTACATGATTTGACGTTGCTTCCTGATCTTCCTTTTCTCCTTGTTTGAATCAAAGGAGCTTTGGGTTACTGATCTTCTGTGTAGTGATGCCAGGATCATGGCTTGTGCCTTCAAAGACAATTTGGTTACGAGAGCTCACATATATCCCCACCTGGCATGCACTTTCGAGTCTGTTAAATGTGTATTTATGTCTGTGTGTGCGTTTTAGTGTCTTTTAATAAAATGTAATTTTTTATTCATTGTTTGTTTGATGGAAAGCCTACTGTATGTTTTTGCTAAAAATAATATACACACACGTGTCCTTGTCAGGCCTCGTTGTCCTGTAAAATTTGTAGATGTTCAGAAACCTGTATATTTTAGAAAAATCTTTATTGCAGCAAAATCAAATTCAACAGAATGGGTTTTTCAAAACAGAAATTCAAGATGGGGCTTGCGTATATCAAGGGAGAAAGCAAAATCCACTGGAAAAGGCTAGATAATAGCACATATGTAGGAAAGAGATTAAAAGGGAAAGATCAGGATTCTGGACATTTTCTGACATTAACTGATTAAACCGCTGGCAATCAGATTGCAATGTTACATTTTTTCAGGACAACTTTGGAAAAGGAAAGGCAGAATATCATTTCTTTACAGCTCCTAAGCCACCACACTGTTTCCTGCTGTAGACAAAAGCTTAGGGTTACATTGTACATGGAGAAGTGTTGAATACTCTTCCCTTTTGTGGTTTTGTTGGAATGGTTCCCTGGTACATTAAGATCTAATGGATTCGATACTTTGCACATGTGCTCTGGGTCAGTGATTTGAGATTTTGGGATCAAGAGTTCTGACATGCGGCATACTTGTTCCCGGTCAGAGACCCAGGGCATCGGCATTACCAAGCAACTGGTATTTTCATAGTGAGATGAGCCATCTTTGTGTGCAGTGTGTTTCAAGGGCTATGAAAGATAGTCATTGGACTAGGGAATTTAGACCTTGGTATCAAAGTCTAACCAGTTTCAAGGAAGACACACAGAGGAAGATATTCTTCCAATTAAATATAACGTCTGTCTTCAGTGTATCCTCTCCCTCCACGCTGTGTGTGTTCAATTTAGAGACTCCATTCTGAGTTTGGAATCTTTGTATGTGTTGGACATGTTCCTGGGCTCAGAGTCTTAAAAACTTGCTTCCATTTTTTACAGTTGCCTCCTACTGCCTTAGCCTATCAGGTGAAAAATCAGTGGCAGACGTGGGGGGAGCTGGAGGACGATGATTTGGGATGAAGTACTAGAGTCCTGTAAACTAGTTTCCCCAAGACTTTTTGACCACCTTACTCATTTGTATGGCATATCGACCACACTAAAGCCCATTGGGCCCCAGGTGTGGTGAGACTACTGGTATCTTTTATCTGATCTGGTCATGTCCTAGTATCCAGAGTTACTGGTCTCCGGTGATCCAATTTATTAACGGTCACATGAGCTCCCCATGGACTTTCTGCCTGAAGCAGAGTCTATTTGGACTCCTCCTTAGCTTTGACAGTGATAAATTCCTCCACATTTTTCTTCAAGAAGCCCTTTTTACCTCCAGACTTTTAATTGCCCAGGCCTGGCGTGGAGCATTGCCGCCATCAATCCAAGAGTAGGTCACGGCTGTGAATCTCACAATGCTATATGAAAAAGTGATGTATTCTCATAGAGGATGCCCTGTCAAATACCATAAAATCTGGGGTAGATTGCTAGAACTGCCTGCTACTTGCACTGAGGACGAGCAGCATAACGGATGACCCCTGACATTCTGTGTTGTGATCTACTAACCACCTCATGTCTCTGGCCCCTCAAGGTCTTTGATGTGCAGTGGCTATAAATGTACTGACCATTTGTTGACTGTAGTGGTTCTACATACCTATGTAAGTATACTTTTGTGTCATTTCACAGCTGACTAATATCTGAATGCATACATACCCTTTACAATGTGTCTTTGGACTGCATCTATATGGTTGTTTCTCCTGTATCACCTTCGGTGCGCTTTCACTGCTGACAAGGCTTCCATCTTCACCCGGACTTCCTTCCGGGTCCGCGGGCTACTGCAGCTTAAAAGGCCAAGCCATGATGATGTCACTGCAATGCATGCTCGTGGGATCACTGGCCACAGCACAGTGCTTTAAACAGCACGGGTATGCTGTTCCTTTAGAGCGCATTCGCTGGCCGCAAAAGAGAGTGAATATCTCCTAAACGGTGCACGTTTAGGAAATAATTTTTTACCTACAGGTAAGCTGTATCATAAGTTTACCTGTAGGTAAAAATCATGAAGCGGACTTTACTGCAGCTTTAAGATTTTTCTCTTCCCTTTGATTTCGGAGGAAGCATGTGCTTCTCTCAATTCATCAGAATAAGCTTGTCTATTTTGTATACTTGGCTTAATAAAGATCTTATTTTTTTTCTTTGCAGCCCAGATGACTGGCAGTTCTATCTTTCTTACTTTGACTCAGTGCTGCACCTTGTCGATGGTTCATGGACTCCACCAGTAGAGAGCCCAATGTAAGTCCTTGTTCCTTTCTTTTGTTCTTTTCTTCTGTAAACTGACCTAACCTCAAAGTTTTAGGTCAGCATTGGTAAATTGAGGCATTTAAATTTTTGATGGAGAGCTGGAAGGGTATTAAACTGAATAAAACTTAAACGGCTTGATGTTGGGGTAAAGACAGAGTTTACCTGTCGTGACAAATGCACTATATTGCCAAAAGTATTGGAACGCCCCTCCAAATCATTGGATTCAGGTGTTCCAATCACCTCCATGGCCACAGGTGTATAAAATCAAGCACCTGGACATGCAGACTGCTTCTACAAACATTTGTGTGAGAGTGGGTCGCTCTTAGGAGCTCAGTGAATTCATGCGAGATACCATGATAGGTTCCCACCTGTTGTGCAATAACTCCCATTCATGAAATTTCCTTGCTACTAAATATTCCACGGTCAACTGTTAGTGGTTTTATAACAAAGCAGAAGTAACTGGGAACACCAGCAACTTGGCCACAAAGTTGTAGGCCATGTAAAATGACAGAGCGGGGGTAGCGCATGTTGAAGCGCACAGTATGCAGAAGTCTACAATTGTCTGCAGATTCAATAGCTAAAAACCTCCAAACTTCATGTGGCCTTCAGATTAGCAGATTAGCACAACAACAGTGCGTGGAGATCTTAATGGAATGGGTTTCCATGGCTGAACAGCTGCATCCAAGCCTTACATCACGTGCAATGCAAAGCGTCGGATGCAGCGGTGTAAAGTATGCCGCCACTGGACTCTAGAGCAATGGAGACGCCTTCTCTGGAGTGACGAATCACTCTTCTCTGTCTGGCAATCCAATGGATGTGTCTGAGTTTGGCGGCTGCCGGGAGAACGGTACTTGCGTGACCGCACTGTGCCAAGTGTAAAGTTTGGTGGAGGGGGGATTATGGTGTGGGGTTGTTTCTCAGGGGTTGGGCTTGGCTCCTTAGTTCCAGTGAAGGGAACTCTTAAGGCGTCTGCATACCAAGACCTTTTGGACCATTTCATGCTTCCAACTTTGTGGGAACAGTTTGCGGATGGCCCCTTCGTGTTTCAATATGACTGCTCACCAGTGCACAAAGCAAGGTCCATAAAGACATGGATGAGCAAGTTTGGGGTGGAGGAACTTGACTGGCCTGCACAGAGTCCTAACCTCAACCCGATAGAACACCTTTGGGATGAATTACAGCGGAAACTGCGAGCCAGGCCTTCTCGTCCAACATTAGTGCCTGACCTCACAAATGTGCTTCTGGAAGAATGGTCAAACATTTCCATAGACCTAAACCTTGTGGACAGCCTTCCCAGAAGAGTTGAAGCTTTTATAGCTGCAAAGGGTGGGCCAACTCAATATTGAATGCTACAGACTAAGACTGGGATGCCATTAAAATTCATGTGCGTCTAAAGACAGGCATCCCAATACTTTTGGCAATATAGTGTATCAGGCTGCTATAATTGACCTGAAAATGCTAGTTGCCTAGTTTTGGTAGCAGTACTTCTGAGTCTTGGACACAGGCTAAGCACACAGTAAACAAGTTACAGAAAAAGTCTGAATTTCTAATCCCCTATATTTGTTCCCAGGTATTAACTCATGATATTGAAATCAAAGCACAATCATGACAGGCAACTAGTATTTTCAGGAGGAACCTTTATATTTCCCACAACATTTTTCTTTTCGCTAGAGGCTTAACCTGTTTAGCTCACTTTTTCCTTGGGATAGACCAGCAATGGGCAAACTACGGCCCGGCGGACCTTTTAATCCGGCCCGGCGGACCTTTTAATCCGGCCCGGCGGACCTTTTAATCCGGCCCGGCGGACCTTTTAATCCGGCCCGGCGGACCTTTTAATCCGGCCCGGCGGACCTTTTAATCCGGCTTAATCCGGCCCGGCGGACCTTTTAATCCGGCCCGGCGGACCTTTTAATCCGGCCCGGCGGACCTTTTAATCCGGCCCGGCGGACCTTTTAATCCGGCCCGGCGGACCTTTTTAATCCGGCCCGGCGGGACCTTTTTAATCCGGCCCGGCGGACCTTTTAAACCGGCCCGGCGGACCTTTTAAACCGGCCCGGCGGACCTTTTAATCCGGCCCGGCGGACCTTTTAATCCGGCCCGGCGGACCTTTTAATCCGGCCCGCGGACCTTTTAATCCGGCCCGGCGGACCTTTTAATCCGGCCCGGCGGACCTTTTAATCCGGCCCGGCGGACCTTTTAATCCGGCCCGGCGGACCTTTTAATCCGGCCCGGCGGACCTTTTAATCCGGCCCGAACCTTTTAATCCGGCCCGGCGGACCTTTTAATCCGGCCCGGCGGACCTTTTAATCCGGCCCGGCGGACCTTTTAATCCGGCCCGGCGGAGCGTGATGCTGTCAGGATGGCTGTCAGGATGTGTGTAGGCGGGGCAGCGTGACGAACGTGAGGGGAGCTAGGCTCCTCTCACAGTCCGCCCTGAAGACCGGAACGGCGCGGGAACACAGCGAGAGGAACGCGCGGAGCAATGGTAAGTGAATTGACACAGGGGGGACTTGGCTTACTACTTGGGGGGGGGGGGGGGGGAATAGTACTATAGGGGGGATGAATTAATATAGGGGGATGAATTACTATAGGGGGGATGAATTACTATGGGAGATGAATTACTATATGGGGGATGAATTACTATGCTTACTATGGGGGAATATTACTATACTTACTATGGATGACATGTACACATCATTCATCTACTCTTGGTCCGGCCCCCGGGTCCAATATATGAACCCATTGCGGCCTTCAAGTCAAAAAGTTTGCCCACCCCTGGGATAGACCATGTGATCAATGCATAAACCATTGTTTCTCAACTTTTTTTCAGGCACCCTTTTAAAATGTGTTCACAATCTCAAGGCACCGCATTCTAAAATGTAAAAAAGTAAACGCAGCAACAGCCAAACATGTAGGACACCAGTGTTGGAGATGGTTTATTTCTCCAAAACAAATACACCTCTACACACTGGTACTGACTAGTATTCCAATGTTTCTCTCCTCCCTCAGTTTCTCTCCATCTCTCAGCTAATGTGCTGATGGAGAAGGGGGGGGGGGGTGTTGGGAAATGAGGATGCTGTGCAGGTGTGTGATGTCCTCATTTATTAACCAATGACACTGACATCATTGGTTGTTAGGGCACCGGCGGCTTGAAGGTTGTAACAGTGCACAGTGAAAAACTGTGGATTTATGTAACTAAAAGGCAGGCTTGATCCACCCACTGAATTATATAAATTTTAGGAAAACTTTTAGCCATTCTCCGAAGGCACCCCTGGAGAAACCTGAAGGCACCCTGGTTGAAAAAGGCTGGCCTAAACATTGGTTCTACCATTAGGGGGAGCTTAAAGCCCACATTTTTGCAGTTGAGTTTTATTATTTCATTTACTTAACTGACTGAGCCTTACAGACCTGAATTGTAAACGTAAATTAGGCTTTTTTGTTGGACTACATTAAAAAGAAAATTGGTATCAAGCAAAGCTGTGTTTCTACAGGTCAGCAGAAGGAGACTTGGATCACACTTTGGAGCAGGTAGTCAAGTTTGTGGAAGATCAGATAGAGGGAGATTGTAAAAATCCACGACCGCTCCGAGGACCACATCTAGCCAAGCTTGAATTAATTCGACGTCTAAGAAGCAGAGGATGTAATGAGTTCAATCTGGGTAAGTGAATAGGCCATATTTGTGCAGTGTGGTTTTTATCAGCGTGTACGAAAACGGCAAATCCAAACTTTGTGCTTGCCTTTATGTTCAGTAGCTATCTCTTCAGCTATATTTTAGTACAGTTTTTTTGGTCTTGATTCGGCTCACCTATTTTATTTTCTATTACTTTGGATAATGTGTTTTTAAATACAAGTTTGGCTGATGGCCAAATATATACTGTACCTGTATCTCTTTACGTGAACAAAACTGGGGGCTGGCTGAGTTTCTGTTTTTAATACAGCAAACAATTTAGCAGCACTGGGTCGTCTTCCATCATTTCCAGAATTACTGATGTCACACCCTCATTGTTTTGAAGTAGTCAAGCATGCTCAACCAGATGAGCAATGCAGCTTATTCCCCATAACTACATATTGCCCTTGCATATCTTTCAATATTAAAATGAGTAAAACTATTTTTGCTATTTAAAAATATTCATGGGAGAGCTCTGAGGCTGAAATGTTGTGTTTTAGGAGAACCTGAAAATCTGATGTTCCAGTACTTCCTTAAGTTCGGGGACAAGCCTTGCTGCTTCACCGATCTTAAAGTATTTGTGGATCTTCTCAACCCAGCTCAACATTCAAATGTAAGTTTTTATGTTCTTTATTTCCAACTTTTCTATGACCTGAAAAAGGTTTCAAATATCTGTACATGTTATAATGAAAATGAAAAAAGTGATCCAAGGCTAAAATACATTTCTCTTATTTCATTGAAGGACACAGTCTGGCCAAGAGTCTTGACTATAGGGCTTTTGCTGCCACCTTCAATGGGCAGCTCCTTTTAGTGGCCAAACCCTCACCTGCTAAAGGCAGCTTGGTTGTTTTGTCTAGTTTCTAGGTGTAAGGACCTAGCTTAGTCTTTGTTTCTAGCAGGGTTTTTACTTTAAAAAAAAAAAAAAAAAAATTAAAAAGGGGAGCCTCAAATAAATTAATAATTAGTGGGCCTGTATTGCCAAACTACAGCATAAAAAAAAGGGACAGAAACAGAGCATTGTGCCAAAGATCCATATATTTGAGCCTTAGGGGCATGAATTGACCTATTGATGATACAAAATCTTTATGAATAATTAGAAAAGCCTTTATTAAATTACAAAAATCCAATAAATAATAAAAGAAACCCTTTTCACCACAATAAAAAGCAAGACAGCTTTGTCTTAGTACCAGACAGCATGTCTAGATGTCACACACATACAGATCACACACAATAGCATATCAGAGCAACAAAAATGCATTTAAAACTGTATGTATTTTCCACCTGAAGGTGTGAATGTGAGATCATGGTGTCCCATAATAAGTCAATTAGGCCAGAGGTGTGTGACCACATTCCTACTGATATTCAGGTACAACCAAAATACAACACAGCACACTCAAGCTTAAGAAAAAGCATGGCAGGATCACCAGATGTAAAAAAAAAAAAACAGAAATCATCAATACTATTAGTGTAGGTCATTAAAGGAAGCAGATAGTTGGGCTTGGAATAGTATAGCCACAAAGCAGTGGATGCAAGTGAACCAATGGCCTGTGCTGAGCAAACCGTCCTGAAGTAGAAGAGAGCTGAGCAAAATATCTGTGCCAAATAATGTCTATCTCAACCTCCTGGGTTGGTAACAGTTCAGCAGGAAAACTCAAAGCAACAGAAGCAACATGTATAGCGGTGGTAAAAAGACAGTTCTTTGCATCCCAAAGTCTTCCATGGTAGGCTCATATATACAGTATAATATCACGACAACATAATGCAGGTAAACAGGTAAGGTGAAGGGGGAGACAGCAAGCAGCATAACAGTTCAATAGGAATGCAAAGAATGTCCTCAGCCTCACACCCCTCTATAGGAACGTTTCAGACACTTACACAGTCCTCATGTACATTGTGCACAATTATTTGGCCAGTTGTATTTTTGAGAATTAATTTCATTATTGAACAACTACTGTGCTCTTGGTCATTCCAAAATGTTAATAAACCTGAATATGTAAGAAAGTAAAAGTGAGGTTTTGGCTTTCTTAGGAGAATAGCTGTGTGTGCACAATTATTGGGCAGCTATTAGTGTGCAGAATTATTATGGAACTAAACAGAAAAACTAAAATTTTCCCAACTCACTTGTTTGTTTATTTTCATCTGTTAAAGTGAGAATAGTAAACACTCAAAATTTACAGATACCCATTTCTGACATTAAAAAAAAATAAAAGATCAGTGACCAATATAGCCTCTCTTCTTTTCAATAACCGTCAATAGCCTTCCATTGACGATTTTTTAACTTTGTGCAACTTTGTACAGCAGCAACCACACCCTCCTAGACACTGTTTAGAGGTGTATGTTTGTTTTTTTTTTTTTCTTCATCGTAAATCTCCCATGTAAGAATGGCCCACAAGTTCTCAATGGGATTTAGGTCAGATGAGGGCCATATCCTTCATCTTTTAAGGTCTTTACTAGCTAGCCACGCAGTAAAGTACTGTGATGAATGCGATTTGAGCATTGTCCAGCATACTATCTTGGTCTTCTTGAAAGATGCAGACTTTTTCCTGTACCACTGCTTGAAGAATGTGTCTTCTAAAAACTGGCTGTAGGTTTGGGAGTTGATTTTGAGGTCCAACTAGCTCATCTTTAATAATGCCAGCCCATACCAGTACCCCGCCTCCACCTTGCTGGCGTCTGAGACGAAATGGAGCTCTGTGCTAGTTACTGATCCAGCCACAGGCCCATCTATCTGGTCCCTCAAGAGTCACTCTCTTTCAACAGTCCATAAAACCTTTGAAAAATCTGCCTTCAGATATTTCTTGGCCCAGTCTTGATGTTTCACTTATGTGTCTTGTTCAGTGGTGGTCGGCTTTCAGCCTTCCTTACCTTGGCCATGTCTCTGAGCACTAAACACTTCGTACTTCTGAGCACTTCATGTAGGTTGTAGTTGTGGAATATGACAGTACTAGAAGATGAGTTCATGGTGGCTTCACGTTTTTGATTCTACTCAAATCTTTGGCAGTTAATTTGCGTCTTTTTTTTTTTTTTTTTCTTAACACGTTTCGTCCAACCCTGTTGACTATTTGCAACAAAAACGTTTGGTTCTGTGATCATGCCCCAATATCTTAGTAATTTCAAGAGTGCTTCATCCCTCTGAAAGACTTTTTACAATTATTGACTTTTCAGAGTCAGTTAAATCTTTTTTGGCCCATTTTGCCTGTGGTAGAAGCTGCCTAATATGCACACCTTGATTTAGGGTGTTGATCTCTTTAGGCCACACCCTCCATTACATAAACACACATCACCTGATATGCTTAAACCCAATAAGCATTCAAGTTTATACAAGTTGGACAATATGCATAAAAATTATGATTTGGTCAAAATACTTGCCTAATTGTACACACAGTGTATAAGGATGACAAGTCAAACCTGATGGCTGGTAGCTGTGGGTCTGGTTAATCTTTCCCGTTGCTGTGTGTCAGACACCATGCTGTACACTGATAACCATTAAACTCCATAATGCATTTAAAGCTCCACTGTCTCAATTACTTCCAAGTACGAGGTGAAGGTGGGAGACACTAATCATGATGACTGACATCAGAAGTGCCTTTGCAAAAACATTGACTTGTTTCACCGGAAACCTAGCTGCGTAAAAATGTTTTTTTCTTTGTCAACAGCTGAGCTTGGTGACAGGCTGGATTATATAGATCCTAGTAGTCACCCCAGCTTGTCCAGCGAGTGCACGCAGACCCCTAGTGCATGCCGTCAAGGAGTAGGACAGCCCGTGAGTTGGCCCACAGGGGACACACATGACCGAACAGTCTGGGTACTTATCGCAGTGTGCCCTCTGGCTAACAGACCACCCCATGTGGGAGACAGGCTGTCCTGAGAGAATTAAAAGGAATATAGCGAGCGCTCATTATAATCAGCTGCTAGAACACTCCAAGGAATCACCAGACCTCATATCATGAGTATTAAAAATATAGTGCAGCGCTGTAATATAGATATGTCAATGGATATTTAAACAAATAAGTGAGCATAAAGTTCATAAAATCTTCATAAATGCGAAAAAAACTCTTGTGGAAAAACTTGCAGTGAAAATCTTCTCTATATCAAAATAGGTGACTGGAACCGTATAGATAAAATGCGCACTCACCAACCGTGCATTAAATATGCGCATGTATATGACCCTCTATCAGGTAATCAGCCAGACACACGGACAATCCTTCCCAGGTGGATCATCAGCCTTGGGTGTAGTGATAAGTAGCAAGGTCCAGAGAACACTCAAAGCCAGTAAGTGAAGGTGGATGAGCTCCCTCTTCTGGATACAAGATGCACTAGGAACCAGCTGCTATAGATCTGAAACCCTCGGAGAGAGGGTTAAAAACGGAGAGGGAGTGCCAATAGTGTAGTAGGTTCAAACAAATTTATTATTCACAGAGTAACAACCAGGGGTACATGTATACATACATATACTGCCAGTATTAGAGCAATAAAAGAACATGTACTGACCCGGCACAGTACATGTTCTTTTATTGCTCTAATACTGGCAGTATATGTATACATGTACCCCTGGTTGTTACTCTATCTGTGACCTAATAAATTCGTTTGAACCTACTACACTATTGGCACTCCCTCTCTGTTTTTAACCCTCTCTCCGAGGGTTTCAGATCTATAGCAGCTGGTTCCTAGTGCATCTTGTATCCAGAAGAGGGAGCTCATCCACCTTCACTTACTGGCTTTGAGTGTTCTCTGGACCCTTGCTACATATCACTACACCCAAGGCTGATGATCCACCTGGGAGAGAGAGTCCGTGTGTCTGGCTGATTACCTGATAGAGGGTCGTATACGTGCGCATATTTAATGCACGGTCGGTGAGTGCGCATTTTATCTATACGGTTCCAGTCACCTATTTTGATATAGAGAAGATTTTCACCGCAAGTTTTTCCACAAGAGTTTTTTTTATCGCATTTATGAAGATTTTATGAACTTTATGCTCACTTATTTGTTTACATATCCATTGATATATCTATATTACAGCGCTGCACTATATTTTTAATGTCCTGAGAGAATGTTCCCACATTGTTCTGCTCAGAGTTGCCTAGTCTGGTGGGTGAGCAGGCAGCGCTTTCAAAAGTGCACTAAGTCGTTTCTTGGTCTTTTGTATTCCAGGCAGCTGAGGCAACTGTGAGACACATCGGCTTGCCTCTGTCCTCCTCCCCGTTACTGGGTGCGGTGAGTCTTGGAGACCTTTGTCTCCTGGTTAGGAGGGGTGCTCAGCTGTAAGGAGAACAAAAAATGCTCCCTTCCCATGTCCTCTTCCTTGGAAGACTCTGGGCCAGAGGTCAATGTGGCTGCCATTTCTACACAACCTTTGTAGTCAGATCTGACCCCCTTGGATGCTGAGGATGAATCTTCCTCCACCTCTGTAGCACAAGAAAATGTCTGCTTGGATCTAATCTTTGCAGGAGACCCTTGAAATTGATGCCTTTCCCACGGGATTTAGAGGTGATGGCAGTTTCTTTTGGTACTCATAAGCTGGTGTGTGCCACAAAGGTTTCCCCATATCTTTTCCATTCTGACAGATTTGTGTACAAGGAATCAGAATGTCCTAAGCAGCCGCTTGTAAATGGATTTCAGTTTGGTATTTCTTTGAGGAAGCTCTTCTGAAAAAGTGGACTTATCCCACAGTTTGTGGATCCACCAACCTCCAGTCTGAACAAGGCTACTATGATTCTGGTGGAAGAATTGCCATCATTTAAGGACCCCTTCGCCAGGTTCTGACCACAGCCCTGGTGTACCAAACACTCATGGAATGTGCAAACCTTCTGCATCAGGGCTTGGGTAAGGAACCGGGTACCACAAGATGCTTTACTGGATGTGGACCCCCTTCTCTCCCTCGCCTTTTTTTTTTTTTTTTTTTTTTTTTTTTTTTTTTTTTTTTTTTTTTTTGTAACGTTTTGGTGGAGGTTCTGTGCCATGTTGCTCAGCAGACCAGACTTCGAAGAAGGTCCTGGCGGAATTGCATCTTCATGACGACAGGCTTTTTGGTGCCACTCTGGATGATATTATGAAGAATATCACGAATGGTGAAATGTACCTTCCTCCCACAACCTTCCTCAGTTACAAGCTCTCGAAGGCCTCCGCTGGTGGTCCCAAACATCATTGTCAGAACAAGCCCTCAGACAAGTCTTTCAGACCTTGAAGGTTTGCCCACACCTGTTTACACCAGGGTGTGGAACCGTCTTCACTGGTTTGCTTGGAATTCTCAGCTCTCCAACAAATGGGTTAGTGAACAGATTACATTGGTACTCAAGATAGAATTTCTTTCCTATCCACCAGACAAAATATTTCCTTCCAATCTCAGTCTTTCGCTGCCTTGACTACGTGACCTTTACTTGGCAGTCATGGGCTTGCTCAATCAAAGGGGATCTCTCTGGTCCAAGGAAGAATGTGTTACCTTTTCAATGTCCTGGAGCTGCATGTGAGTAGGTTTTGTCTGTTTCATTGGACGGAGCTTCTGCTGGGATGGTTGGTCAGGATCCAGTCAAACAGCGCCATGGTGGTGGCTTATGTCAATCGCCAGAGCAGAACGAGGATTTCAGCAGTGATACTGAAGGTATCTCACACTCTCTCCAGTGGGCAGAGTTTCACAATTCTTCTGTCTCTGTATTCCATTCCGGAAGTGGGGAAACTGGTAGGCAGATACCTCGGCCATCAAATTCTGGACCAAGGAGAGTAATCTAGACATTTTCCACCAGATATGCCTGTAGCGAGGCATCCCAAATTTGGATCTACTGGAGTCGCATCTCAACAGGAAGGTGCCAAAATTTCTGTCGGATGTGAGGGATCCCTGGCGGCTGACAATATCCGACACTCTATTTTAATAAGTAATTTCGCTCGAATGTAGTCCCGTGATCTTATGTTTTTGTCTTTGGATATGACTAAAGCTTTTGATACTCTTTCCTGGACTTATTTGCAGAGGGCCTTACAGAGATTGGGGGGTAGGAGATGATTTTCTTCGGTGGATTTATAGACTTTATAGTACTCCATCCGCTATCATGGGGTTGAATCCTCTCAGTTTCCATTTAGGGGTGGTACACGTCAAGGTTGCCCCGTCTCCTCCTTTTCATCATTGCCCTGGAACCCCTCGCTGTTCGCATTCGACTTCACCCGGACATTTAGGGTCTTGAGCGGGTGGGATTGCATCATAAGATTGCTCTTTTTGCAGACAATATCCTGGTGTATCTATCTCCATTTGTTTCTCTCCATAATCTCCCGTCGCTTCTGACTGATTTTGCTCATCTCTCGGGTTTACATGTGAATCCTACTAAGTCCGTGGCTATGAATATCACCCTTCCCCAATCATGTGTGACACACCTTCGATCTCAGTTTCCGTTTCAATGGACCTCCTCTCTTCCTTATTTGGGAGTTAAACTTGTACCTTCTTATGATTTGTTTTAGCAGGCAAATATTCCTCCTCTGCTTTCTCAGCTAACCCAGTTGATCTCTTCTTGGCAATCGTGACCTTATCCTGGTTTGGTAGGGCTCAAGCGATTTTAAAATGACCTACATCCCTAAACTACTTTTATCCTTTTCGAATACTCCCTGTTCGGATTCCACCTCATATACTCCATATTTTACTTCAAGTTTTCCGGTTTGTATGGGCTTTGGGATGTGCCTCGTTTGTCTAAACAGTTGCTTTAATGCCCACGTATTCGGGGTGGTCTTGATCTAACGAACGTTCATCACTAAATATTGCGGCCGAAGTTACTCCTCTTATTGAGCTTTTTCTCTGTCAGAGACTTGTCCTTGTGGGCTTTGGTAGACACTTTGGAGACGCATCCCCTTTTGCCTTCTGCCTTGCCCTGACTTCCTCTGTCCTTGCGGCTTAAATAGTTGAACCTGTCCTTGCTCATTCTTTGAAAATTTGGGACTCTTGTAAGTATTCGGCAGGTATTCTCTTCCCGCATTTACCTCTTTTACAATTCTTTAACTATCCACTTTTTCCCCTAGGGGACTCTGATAAGATGGCCTTTCGTTGGTGGATAACCCATGGTTTTACCATTGTTCACTCGGTGATTGTGAGTCGGGTATGTTGTACGTTTGAGTTGCTTCGAGAGAGTCATGCTATTCCTCTCTGAGTTATTTCGTTTTTGGAATTACGTCATTTTGTTGCACATTTGCTTCGTGGGCAGGATTCCCCCCCCCCCCCCCCCCCCCCACCTTCTCTGGTTTTGAATCAGTTTGTAAGGCATCAGCTTCCACTAAAGGTGCCTGCTCTCATGTTTATTTATCAATCCGGAATCATATGGCTAAACCTCTACCTGCTCATTGTGCGCAATGTGGAGTTTAAGATGCAAATTTCTGCTGCGGATTGGGGGTCTATGTGGCAAGCGTTTTCTTGGTGCTCTCGTAACATACCGGCATTAGAGAACTCCTATAAAGTAATTTCAAGATGGTATTTTACCCCATCTTGATTAGCTAAATTTATACCAGATTATGACTCGTGTTTTCATAGCTGCTCTCTAGAGGGTACAATGCTCCACATTTGGTGGACCTGTCCAGTGGCCCGCCGCTTGTGGGCTATGGTTTATAATCTTATTCAGTTACGTCCAGTAACCTTAAAAAAGATCCTATTGAAGCCTTACTTTTTCAGCCAATTTGTGGCCTACCTCATAGACCCCGCTGACCAGTCATGGCTACTAAGCAGACTATTGCCGTCTCTTGGAAGTCCACCACTTTACAATTTGAGGCGGTCGAGTCCAGGATCCTAGGCTTCTTTATCAATGAAAAATTGGTGGCGGTGTTGGAGGATATTCATGATAAGTTTCTCTGTTTGGCAACCTTGGGTGGACTACCATATGGTTTTTCATTTTTCCACAAAGCTCACTAATCTTTGATGTGTTGGGTTTTGCCTCTTCAATCCCCCTATGTGGGGGTCGTGTTTCCCAGCTCTCCCCCTAGGCGAACTTCTTTTCTTTGCTTGTATGTCTTTCTTCTTTCTCTTCTCTTCCCTCCTTTTTTGTTTTTCTGTCTTCTGTCTGGATTGGGGGGGGGGGGGGGAGTCTGGGGTTCTTGGCCCTCTCTGGATCTTTTTACCTTTTTTTTTCTCCTCTCACATGGTTTGTTTACATTAGACCATTTGCTTATCATTTTGTTATCTGACAATTCTAGGAGTCTTGGATAATATTTCCTCGAGGGCAAGGCTCTCTTTGTGTTTTTTCGCTGCCTTTCTTGAATGTAGCTTTTATATTTCAGGATGTGATTGTGGGCTTCGCTGCCCTCTGTTTTACACACTGTTATTTGGACCCCGGTGTGGGCCTCATATGTGTCTTTCTGTGTTTTTGTATGATGTTTTCCTTTTTGTGTGCAGATACGTGTTTTGGCTGCAAGGTTTTGTAAGCCGAAGGTTTTTTGTTCCCTTCTGGGTTTGTGGGTTAATGGTTTTGTTTATTAATTTATTCTGGCTACCCACCCCTCCATGGTCGTTGCTTTGGCATGCACCTGCAGTCAAGTTTCTTGACAAGCTGTATCCTTCAGTAAATGTAAGAGAACAGTATTATTTTTTTTTCTACTCTACTGTAAAATCCCTTTCTCTGAGTTTATTAAAAACACAACTCACAATACTGTCTTTTCTATATTTCTTTGTTGTTAACTGAGCTGCCTATAGCAGATGGGGGTTTGGCCACTAGTAGGGGCGACCCGTAGGTGGTGCTGTTTGTTTTTTCTGCCTGATGTCCTACTCTTGAAGGTTGCCCTATAACCCTTCTGCCAAGATTGTTGCCAGACTGTGTCCTTCAGTGAATGCAGAGAAAGTGATTTTACAGTCAGAACAAAATCCTGTTTTTTGATTTGCTTTGTCTATACTAATAACACTCACAAAGGTATTTCACTATAAACCGTGCCTGTCACTCCAATTAACAGGAAAGCTAATGCTTTCTTCGGTGTGTAGTTTATTAACAGGCTGCTGGGCTCATTACCTCTTACCCCTCCGATCGTGGGAGACTTTGCATTCCCGGAGGACATCAAGGCCATGCAGAGACACCTATGTGTGATTCAGCTTAGCAGACTACTTGGACTCCATGAAAAGATGGACAGAGCACAGAAGCAGGAAGCAATTAGAGAAATCATCATAAGATACAGACATGGACTGCAGTTTGGTAAGTGTGTCTTGTTTGTAACAGGTGGCTAGTATATATATTTTTAATTTTTCAACATGTCGCTTTTCAAAAATTCATGTTTGGTGGTGGTGGTCATGTAAAACCATTTAAAGACGTAGAGGAATCAAACCTTTATACTCGCCTATGTGGCTGCAGCACTGATCCGAGTTGCAGCAGTCCACTGCCGCCTGTACACCGAGAACTGAGTGATCAAAGATCGCTGATCACTCAGTTCTCTGGTGATTGACAGTGCTCTGCTCCTCCCAGTGCCCACAGCTGCCAAGTAGGCATGTGGGCAGATCCCAACATTGTCGGGAGCCCTACAGAACCTGGAAGTGGCTCTGTGTTATCAGCCGCCAGGGATTCAGCTGTTGACTGAATCTGGGTCACAGAAATGCAGAACTAAGTGCACCCCTGTGAAACACAGGAGAAGTATAGCCAAGCTTTGACCATACTTCTCTTTTAATAAAGAGTCCATATATTAGTCCAGGCTGTCAACATTGATGCTGAATGGGTGTCCTAATGACAACAAGACTATTGAATGTTGTGTCAGTGCTGTGCGTACCTTGGCTGTTTTTACACATGCCAATTGACACACATTTCAGTGCCAGCTCTATTGAGTTTTTAATCTTTGCATTGAGATGAAATCAGTCAGGTGCATCTGTTGTGCAAAAAGTGCATATTGTATCTCAATTGATCAAATAAGTATGATGCCCTAAAGTGTTACTAAACCCACAACAGTAAAATCAGTCTGTATATGCAGTAAAGCATGCTTGTTATACTCACTGTGATACTCCCCTTCTTCCTTTGCCCCCCTCTTATCTCCTGATGAGACATAACGTATGGAGTCACTCTGCACATTGTCACTTTGGTTTGTATGGCTAGAGAGGTTTTTTTTTTTTTTTTTTTTTTTTTTTTTTTTGTTTGGGGGTGCACAGGGCCAATCAGCACTGTCCAGACAGAGGTCAGGGGTCTTGCATCTTCTTAGAGCGCAATGAAAACTCCTCCTACAAGTTTTAACTTGTGGTCTGCTGGACACTGATAGAAAACACAATATTTATATTTACTAAAATAATTGCATTTCCATGTTCTGTGTACTGTGGGAGACCAGATATAGTGAATGCAGGGTCCTGGGTTTAGTTACACTTTAACAGCTACCTACAGATGCATTCAGACATACAGTTGGTTTTTGAGATGGAACGGTTTGTCAGTAATGTTGCTCTGTTGTTTATAAGTGCAAGGTCTAAAAAAAATGACAAAAGTATTTTAAATAAAACATGATTAAAAATATAAGTCTAATTAAACAAAAAAAAACATTGATGAGACTTCTTTAGGCTTTGTTTTACAGTTTTGTTGTTGCAAAAGCAGCCAGATGCGCTTTGCGGTGTGTCAAGCATTATCTCCCCCTGTCATGTTAGACAGGTTCTTCTGCCGCCAAATGCAACCAATAAGTCAGTGGGACCAAGCCACAATCAGGAGCCTAGCTTTTGGCTCACACTTGCAGTGCAATATCCCTATTAAAAAAAAAAAAAAACATTCAGCTGTTGCAAATAACATGCATTCAGGAGGTGGCAATATCCTCTCCTGAATGTATGTCAGCTGCGCCTGCACTAATCTCTGAAAGTGATCCACCACCGTTTGCTCTTCAGAGACCAGTGCTGGAAAACAAGCAGTTGCTGTCTTGAAGCTGCACTGTTAGCACCTAATGCAAAAAAAACGAACAAAAAAAACCCGACTAAGACTCTATAAACTCTCACATTTATATCCTTACATTGTAAAAATTTCTTATGTAATCAATCAAAAAGATAAATAGAAGTAACATGTCCGACCCCTCTAATGCAAATCCAAACATATCTTATTCACACAAATATTGGCCAAGTAAATACAAAAATAAAGCCAACATCCTCCATCCTTGTCCTGGTTTAGGTACTTCAGTGACATCCTTATTTTATGGACAGACTCCAGGCAAGAGGCTCAAGAATTTGCGGTGTGCCACGAATACAATGTGTCATTCGCAGGTCACTCTTTTGGAATTGAGTGTTAAAATCAGGCCAAGAAGTATAACCATTACAAATTTATAAAGGAAACCCTCTTAGATTGTGAGCTCCAAGGAGCAGGGCCCTCCTAACCCTCTTGTATTGAACTGTATTGTTTGCTGTATTGTCTCCCTTTATATTGTTAACGTTGAGCAAACTGTTGGCGGTATACAAATCCTGTATAATAATAACAACAACCCAGATGGATGCCCTTAGAGTCTGATTTTAAAAAACGTGGATATAGAGATAACTGACTTTGTTCAGCTTATCAAAGAGCCAAAGAGTAACGGAGAGAATCTTCTATATGGAGGAAAAAAAACACTTGTGCAAATTAAAGTTACAACTATATTGAGTCTCCAATATACACACCTCTTAATGAAGGTCAAAGATGTGTGTCAAACATTGATATTTTGTTAACATGAGATGAGCTGGTTAAGAAATGTTATTTCAGTATATCCATTTTTAGGACAGTTTAATTACTGGGAGATCTATTCATGCATAGATATTACTTGGAGAATGAAGAAAAGTGATGGCTTTCCAGGTGTTATGTCCAGATTTCGAATCTGTGATTTATGTGGATTTATGGTGTAAGGCCCCACTCTTAGATTGTGCACTGGAAAGCTCCTCAGGTGTAGGCTACGTGTGGATTAGAATACGAAGGGAATGATCAGCGCTTTGACCTGTGCCCTTCTGTATTAGCAAAGCTATTTGATCAGTTCAGAGACGTCTGCAGGCTCATGTAAATGACAAGCTTAGCTTCAATTTGAGATCTCCAGTGGCATGACATTTAGATTTGGAACATAATTATTACGTCACTTTTTTTAAATTTTTTGATTCTGGAGCAAGTCTATAAGAATCCACTAGATGGTCATTTTAATCAAATAGTTTTACAAAAGAAGACCAGGTGGATCTGGGAATTAAAAGCAAGGAATCCACTGGGCTTAAATAACAGCTTGAGGTTTAGCTTTTCCTCTTTCCTAGCCTGAAAAATATGCTAATGTATATACTTAAGGGACAGGACAATATGCCTTTGAGTCCATACACTGGAATTTACACAATAGCAGGAGTCTTTTAAAGTACAGGAGGATGTTGGCTTTATTTTTTATTTTTTTTTACTTGGTCTAGTATTTTATTGTGAGGATTATTTGTGTTAATAAATTAGGTTTGTGCTTTTGTATTGGTTTTTATAGGCATGGGGGTATGTTCCTTTTTGTGTTCGCATATAAGAATATTAGTGTGAGTTTTAAGATTCTTAGCTAGGTTTTTTTTCATTTGAGTTTGGTTAATGAACATTATACCAGATACTCCTCCACTTAAAACATTTTCTGTGGATAATTTATCCAGTCTATGATTGGTAGGCACCTTGAGGTTTTTTTTTACCAAGTGTTTTTTCCATTCTTCCCTTTAGGAAAATCATGTCTGAAAACAGAGCTGCAGTTCTCTGATTACTACTGTCTCATAGGAGCCCACTTGCTCCTAGATCTGTGGATTAGTGGTAAGTATATGCTTTATTTAGGAATAACTTGTTTTAGAGCACTCAAAATAAAATATCTTTAGGGAGATTTTCAATGAGCCCCAGCCAAAAGTCTTTTTTAAGTGAAGAAATATTTTTGTCCCCGTATGAGGTATTTCCCCTCACTGTCCTGGTGACACAACAGCAAGTGAGGGGGAAACCTCCCCAATGTGACATAGACCGCAATAAGTAATTGATGGTGCGAGAGAAGTTTTTTTACAGCTTCTTACAAGTTCTGTACCTTTTTGAATTGCATGTTCTTCTCGTTTGTTTAGCTTTTAAAATTGGGGCATACCCACCTGAAGCCAGAATGGATGTTACATATATCATAGCAGTGGTCAGTTTTTAGAGTGTCATGGTTTTTTCAGACTTATTTAGAAACTTTTACTGAAAGAAATACTGAAGCTGCCATTGCTAACCACCTTCTGAAAATGCTAGTTGCCTGGCTTTCTATGGCTTCAAAACTTTTTGGGTTGCTGGCCCAGAACAACCTGGCAAGTCCAAGTAAGGTGGCAGCTACTCGAATCCCATAGGATCAACATGACTGCTAGACAACTGTTTTCAGCAGGAGCTTGGTAATGGTGGCCCATGTTTGTCTCTAAGCACTGATTTCCCCTAAGTCATGCAGAATTTGTTTTAGTAGTCTTTTGTGGAAAGAAGACTCCTAAACGTTCACTTCAGTTGAAGACTTTTGAATTCTCTTGATTTCTTTGTGCAGGTGAAGACTGGGCAGTTTGGCACGCTCTTACTTTATTAGAAGAAGGATTAAGCAACAGTCCCTCTAATGCCCAGTTTAAATTGCTGCTTATTCGCATCTACTGCACACTGGGAGCATTTGAGCCAGCTATGGATCTGTATAGCAGCCTGGATGCTAAACACATACAACATGACACAATTGGGTAATTGTGTGTTTTTTGTTTTTTTTTTGTTTTCTTCTGATCTTTCCACCTATATTTCAGTTTGACAATTATACCACATTGTTAGTATTTTTGTTTAATATTATGTTTTATATTGTCAGTGTATACTAACCGGCCACTTTGTTAGGTACACCTTGCTGGTACCAGGTTGGACCCCTTTTGCCTTCAGAACTACCTTAATTCTTCGTGGCATAGATTCAACAAGGTGTTGGAAACGTTCCACGGAGATTTTGGTTCATATTGACATGATAGCATTACTCAGTTGCTGCAGATTTGTCAGCTGCACATCCATGATGCGAATCTCCCTTTCCACCACATCCCAAAGGTGCTCTATTGGATTTGAGATCTAGTGACTGTGGAGGCCATTGGGGTACAGTGATTTCATTGTCATGTTCAAGAAACCAGTTTGAGATGATTTGAGCTTTGTGACATGGTGCATTATCCTGCTGGAAGTATCCATCATAAGATGGGTACACTGTAGTCATAAAGGGATGGACATGGTCAGCAACAATACTCAGGTAGGCCGTGGTGTTTAAACGAGGCTCAATTGGTACCAAGGGGCCCAAAGTGTGCCAAGAAAATTTCCCCCACGCCATTACACCATCAGCACCAGCCTGAGCTATTGATACAAGGCAGGATGGATCCATGCTTTCATGTTGTTTATGCCAAATTCTGACCCTAACATCTGAATTTCACAGCTGAAATTGAGACTCATCAGACCAGACAACGTTTTTTTTCCAATCTTCTATTATCCAATTTTAGTGAACCTGTGCGAATTGTATCCTATGTTTTCTGTTCTTAGCTGACAGGAGAGCCACCAGGTGTGCTCCTCTGCTGCTGTAGCCCATCTGCTTCAAGTTTTGACATGTTGAGATGGTATTCCACATACTTTGGTTGTAACGAGTGTTTATTTGAGTTACTGTTGCCTTTCTATCATCTCAAACCAGTCTGCCCATTCTCCTCTGACATCAACAAGGCATTTTTGTCCACACGATTGCCACTCACTGCATATTTTTTTTTTCGGACCATTCTCTGTAAACCCTAGAGATGGTTGCGTGTTAAAATCCCAGTAGAATAGCAGTTTTTGAAATACTTAGACCTGCCCGTCTTTCACCTCATCCATGCCACGTTCAAAGTCACTTAAATCCCCTTTCTTCCCCATTCTAAAGCTTGGTTTGAACTTCAGCAAGTCACCACATCTAGATGCCTAAATGCACTGAGTTGCTGCCATGTGATTGGCTGATTAGCTATTTGTGTTACCAATCAATTGAACTGGTGTGTCTAATAAAGAGGCCGGTGAGTGTATATGGTTGCTAGATCGAGACCCCTTTTGGGGTATATCTACTGTGACAGGTGAAGCCTTAACCTCAGGTAGGCCCAGTGTTGTATATAAATTAAGACCGGGTTTCTCTGTATATTGATATTGGTTCCTGACTTTTAATAAACCATAGTACGTTGCACACAATGCCGTTTCATAGACAGAGGAATGGGGAGTTATTCACTTTATTGTTGTGCTCCTTTTCTTAATGCAAGCAATTTAAATTTGGTGGTTTGTCCTCTCCTATCTAGACTTAGACTCAGGATAATGAGGTAGCTGGGTCACACCTCCCAGCTGAAGCATTTTTAGCCTAAAAATGCAAACCGTACATTGTTGCAGTCTTACTGCCACAGGGACATTGTGAGTGCCTTAGTTATAGCGGTTAATGTATCCAGACATGCAAAGCCCCCTCCATTTTGAACTCCATTCTGTGAGTACCCCACTGGGGATCTACTCAGCAGTGGCAGATCACAGGTGCAAGGGAGCTGGGACAAAAGGGCCAAATTACATGCTTGCAGGCAGCCAACTGGAAGCTTAAAATACTGCTCGGGGTGAAAAATGTTTCCTTGTCGTGGAGCAATGTCCTTTTATGACACAATTCCCCTCCTCTGTCTCTATTTCCCTCACAGTAGCTAGGTCTGAGTTCTTCAAAAAACAAAAAACAAATAAAAAATTGGCATTTCTAGAGCCTTTGGTTTCCGAAGGCCAAAACTCATGTATTCTTTCCCCTGATCCTGTTCAGAAATCAAGGTAGAACCTCCTTTACAGTTAGGATATTGTGAAGGAAGGATCATGATTTTTTTTTTTTTTTTTAATGTGGAGTAGTGGAGACTGAAGCCGAAGAGGATTTTCCTTCTTTCCTTTTCCTTCATTGTAAAAACATTGAGCTATGGCTTTGTGCCAAATGCTCCACTATGGACACATTGATATAGTGCGCACTAGGCTGCACCTGACTCTCCACAGTCAAAATAAGCCCCCTTGGGCACTAAGAGGCTGTCTGAGCCTAGGTCCAAACATATGCGGGTGCAAGGCCACGTGTAAATTGCACGCGGTCCCACACCCATAAACATGCTGCTCTTTAGCAGATGCATGGAATTAAGAAATAATGGCACCCCCATGTATTATAACATGCAGCATGTTTTAGGGTGCCCAAAACTGAATGGTGAAGCAGCATCATGCAGTTCTGAGTGGCTGCCCAGCAGGTGCATTTTGGGAAAAGGGTTGTAGACTTTCCCATGTTTCCTACAGGTACAGCAGCCCATTCAAATGAATGGGCTGCTGTGACTGCGCAAATGCTCCTCCTCCGAAATGTGGAGATGTGAATCTAGACTTTGTTTTTGTTGAGATGTGAACCTAGATTTAGTTAACAAAGACTTTCCCCATACACTCACAGATTGGTTGTGCACTTTACAATGACTGGCCCATTCTTGAAAGGGTATAAAATCCTCCTTAGCTTTTGCTGAGATTTATCCTATGGAAAAGGATTTTAATAAGTGAGCAATTCTGTTAGTGGATTCTATAATTTCAGTTATCAATGAACATCAGTTCCTGTTGATGTTCCCTCTTTTAAGGTTTCTTTAGGGGGGAGGTAAATTTGAAAAGCCAACTGGGGTGTCAGAAGTAATCAGACAGCTTTTACAGCTGCCTGATCACTTCCACCCGCCATCGGTTCATTTGTCTAAAGACCCCTGATGTCTCAATTAGTCAAGTAAAAAACACTTGCATTAGGGGACTTTTAGTGCTCTTATGTGATACATGTAAGAATTAACCACCAACTACTTTTGTAAGGTTCTAAAATAATATGGTAATCGGGGGAAAAATTTCATTTTAATCGAGTTGACTGCCAAACTAGGATAAGGCCTAATCAGCCCAAATGCAAAGATCATCTTTAAGCTTTTTAAAAAGGGGAGGATAATTAGCTTGATAGAGGGTTTCAACTGAAGCGGTTAATTGAATTCTTAGATTGGGTAAAGAGATACTTGCCCATTGAAAGACATAAGTAGTTCTGAACTGCTGTTCTACAGAAACAGGCAAGGAAATGTTAAGGGCTGTTGTTTTTTTGGGAGTTAAGGGACTGCCCAGAGAGAGTAGAGAATTGGTGCAACAGAGACAGTAAGTTAGGTACGGTGATCAAAGAAGAGGTAATATACATAAGGACAACGTCAGCAAATAGGGAACATTTATGTTCCTGTTGTCCACAAAGGATACCATGGATTTGAGGGTGGGAATGGATCGCCATAGCTAAGGGTTCGATCGCCAGAGCAAAATGCAATGGGGAAAGTGGACAACCCTGTCTAGTGCCACATCGAATTGGGCACACGGTATCTATAACCTCTAATGGAAACTTGAGCTGAGGTAGTATCATATAACAAATGCAACAAAGCAAGAAACGTAGGACCAAATCCAAAGGCCTCTAAGGTAGTAAACAAATACTCCCAAGTTAAGCCATCAAAAGCCTTATGAAGGTCTAAAGAAAGAAGCATAAGCTCCCTTGAGAGAGGAGCATCCCAGTTAGAGTGGACAGCTGAGATCAGAGTGAGAGACCGGCGAATCTGATCCAGTGTTTGACGACATGAGATGAAACCTCGACTGGTCCTTATTAAAATACTGTGCCAAAAAGGAATTAAGGTGCAAAGTCAGAAGTTTCGTTAGAATTTTTTGGTCACAAGTAATTAATGAAATGGGGCAATAATTGTGAGCATCAGTAGTCTTTTATTAGGTTTTTGGAATGACATTTATGTAAGCTTTGTTCTTGTCTAAAGGAACCACACCCTCCTCTCTTAAAGAATTAAAATAGATTCATATGGGGGAGAAAGTGTTCGGAAAAAGTTTTATAATAGTTATTTGGAAGACTGTCGGGGGCCCGGGGATTTATGTGATGATAGCAATTTATTGACTTTGCTTAGCTCAGTGTCAGTAATAGGTTGTTCCATAAGTTCTCTATGGACCTCTGTGAGGGATGGAAGGCTTAAAGTCTCCAGAAAATTTGGAATTGAAGAAGGCTCAACAGGCTGGGGTTGATCATATAGGGTAGCATAAAAGTCATGAAATTCGCAAAGGATCTTGTGTGATATGACCCCCCACGAGCCCAAGTTTGGGAAGTGCAGAGTGAATATGTTTAGAGGTACGTTTATGTGTTAATAGGGAACCTGGTCTGTCCCGCCACTTGAAGAATTTGATTCGTCCAATGTAGTTGTTTTTCTGCTTAAGTTCTAAACAAACTTGCTCTACTTTAAATAAGTCAGAGTTTGGGGTAGTTTTATGTTGGGTGACTAAGGCCTCATATTCTTTAGATTTGGCAGAGATCAACTCTTCACAAGATTTTTTTAATTCTGAGGAACAGTTGGATAAAGAGACCTCTAACAGAGGCTTTGTGAGTTGCCCAATTAATAGCCGGAGTAGTATCTGCTGCTTTATTAATTGCAAAATAAGACTTTAAGTGTTATGTCTGTCAAATTAGAAAGCATCAGCATCACAGGATCATGGTCCGACCAAGGCGTCGATACAATTTTTGGCTGAGTAGTGTTTAGATAGCATTTCTGAGAGGAGGAAAATATAGTCTATACAAGAATGATTATTAGCCCTAGAAAAATGGGAATAATCTCTAGAGGTAGGATTGGCTTCTCTCCAGGCATCAATTAAATTGTTGTGCGAAGTCGCTACT